CTCTTCTCTCCTTCTTCCATTTACGGTAGTAGAAGGTTTAGGGCTTGAATGACTATGGATGACCTCATCCCTTTTCCTACTTCTCCAACAAAATCATAAACTGTATTTCAGAGGACACAGCCTAGCCCCGGATGATAATTTTAAAACTGACAACACATAATGTGTATTGAGTATTCGCCTGCATGTAAGTACATCCGCATGCATGTCTGGTGCCACAGAGGTCACAGAGACTACTGGATCCCTTGGAACTGGAGTTAGAGATGGTTGTGAATTACTTTGTGGGTTACCACCACTGCTGAGCCATTTTTCCAGCCTCCTGAAGATTTATTTACTTATTTATTATATTTTTAACTATGTGCATAATGGGACACGCACAAGTTCCTGTGCATGTTTCTGAGAAGGCCAGCAAAGGCCTGCTGGATCAGGAGTCGGGGCAGTTGTGAGATACCACATGGGTGCTGACAACCGAAACCAGGTCCCCTGCAGTCAATAATGCACTCCTAACTATAGAGCCATCTTCTCAGTCCAGACTTTTACCTTGTCAATTACAATCTTTGGAAACCACCAGGCATCTCATCTAGAAACTCTTTGAAGACAGTTGCAACCCCGCCCCCCAAGTCTCACATATGGCTGTTGTTAAAACAACAAAACAAAACAAAAAGCCCAACAAATGAGCTGAGAAGTTCACACTCATGCTCTTAGGTATGTTGTATGTATATATATTCTACTGATTGTCTCTTTCACACTCATGCTCTTAGGTATGTTGTATGTATATATATTCTACTGATTGTCTCTTTCTCACTCATCTCTTAGGTATGTTGTATGTATGTATATTCTACTGATTGTCTCTTTCTCCTACACTCTGCATTAAGCCTGTATAAAAGTGTGTTTATTAAACCCCACCTCTGCTTCATAAACTGATTAGTCATGAAATTCTGTCCTGCACCAAAGTCATGAATCCCTTTTGGCCTGAGTCGATGTCCCTAAAAGTCTAGCGGGAACTCCTTTCTGGGGAGTTGGGCCTCCTGCCTCTGAACGTCCAAATGCTGACACTTACAAACCTTTGCTCAGAGCCTATTGAGTGTCAGATGCTGACCCATACTGAGCCAGCCTGCTGAATGTCACCACTGACATTATCATACCCAATTCACAGATGACAAAACCTGCATCCAGAGAGGTTAGAAGCCTGTTCACCATGGGAAAGGGAGAGAGTAGTGTCCCTCTAGGGGTTGAGCATAAACCTTCCACATCCAGAAAATACCCCAGAGGCATAGAGAACAACAGCCACCAAACTGCAGACCTGAAGTCTAGTCTGTAGCATTGCAGCTGTCAGCCCATGGGATGAAGGGTCTGTATTGCTTGTACCCAAACCACAATGACTGGCACTTTTGAAGGTGAGTGTATGGTTTGACCTGATGGTCATGACCAAGAGACACAGGTAGGTAACTTATACAGCAGAAAAGCATTGTTCCTGGTACTTAAGGCTGTAGATCAAGTCTTGGGTGAAGGTGAAGCCAATGCATACTCTCCCCGTACCCTCCCATAGAGGGGGAGCTGTGGTGGCTCCTGCTTTTAGAATGACACAGATAAGGGGTTTGTCATTATCTCCTTTCAGAGACTGTATCTCCAAATGGAACTAGGGTTTCCAAACATGAATTTTGGATGGACACTCCTATTCAGGGACAGCTAAAGGCCAAGGCCATATAGGTTGGATGGGGACCTTACACGCCCTGCACGTCCAGACTCCCTGCCACTATATGTGTAGCATATTGATAAAACACACGCTTGGAGTGTGAGACCTGGCAGTAGATGCAACCACTCATTTCTAGTTTTCTTCTTGCCAGAACTTAATTTCTGCTTGAGAAGTGAGATAACTAGAAAAGGTATTATATTCATGTAGTGTGTGTGTGTGTGTGTGTGTGTGTGAGTGAGTGTGAGTGCGCACGCGCTTGCACTTATACATGCAACCATGAGTGCCACAGCATTCATGTGGCCATCAGAGGACAACTTGGAGTTGATTCTTTTCCACAATATGTATCCTTGGGATTGAACTTAGGCTGTTAGCCTGACCAGCTTGTGCCCCCACATGCTGAGCCTCCTCCAGGCCTGTGACAATGAAATTTTATTCTAGCTTGAAAAAAATGCTTGCCTTTCAATGGGAGAATGAATATTGGGAAATACTGCATATTTTTGCCACCTGTAACCTGCCTGAACCAGGGCTAATTTAGAATGTGCTTATCCTTGGGAGAGGCAACATCTTGTACTGATAGGGTGCAAGCAAACAAGGCTTAGCATTTCTCATAGAACAAAATCTACTTTATAGTTACTATGCATGGGCTCAAACATGAGCACACTTTGACGGGTAGTTTCCATCCTTAGGTTTGTAGCTTCACGGCTACATATATTGTTTTTATATTTGTCCTAGTTTGCTTTCTCCTGCTGTGATAAAAGATTCTGACCAAACGTTTCTTGGGGTGGAAAGGGTTTATTTTGCTTATATGTCCCAATCACAACCAAGGGAAACCAGGGCAGGAACTCAAGGCAGGAACCCAGAGGCAGGAGTTGATGCAGAGGCCATGGAGGGGTGCTGCCTCCTGGCCTGTTCCCCGTGGTTTGCTAAGCCTGCTTTCTTACACAACCCAGGCCGATCAGCCTACAGGAGCCATCATCCACATCAATCACTTATCCAAAAAAATGCCTCACAGACTTACCTACAGGTCAATCTAATGGAGGAAATTTCTCAATTGACTTCCCTCTTCCAAGATGACTCCAGCTTGTGTCAGACCGACAGAATATTAACCAGAACAGTATCTAAGAGTGGATGAAGGGTGAAGAATGGAAGTTCCTCATAGACACTCCATGCAGAGCACTCACTGACCATGACAGGATCTCATGGTCCCCTCTGCAGTTGTGTAATTTCTCATCTCTCTATTCAACACTGAACACTTTCCATTTCTAGAATCCCTGTGTGGCTGTTGTCACACAGACACTCACGCACGCCTGGTGCTCACCATGGCGTGGCTTACTCAAACACTTGTGTGGACTAAGGCCTAAGCTATGCTGTGACTGGTAATGTACCACTGCCTTCAGCCTCTCTCTGCTGGCCTTGTACAGGCAAACTGCTCAGTGTTGGTGTGTTCAGTTCACTTTGTAAGCAGTTTGAACACTAGAGGGGTTCAACTCTGCCTCCAAAAGCCTGAACTCTAGTACGGGGCTTGCCTAGCCAACAGGGTGGCCAGCATTAGCTTTGGGCCAATTGTCCTGGTGAGGTGACTTCATGCTGCATTACTCTGCTCAGGTGAAAAACAGCCTCTGCATTTGTGAAACAGGGGCAATAATCCAACCTTACAGGGTGTTGGGAGTTCACAAAGCACTTCCAGGGCAGTCTTGGGGTTTGTGGAATGCCAGGTAAATCCTGGCTGTCCCTGGGGCTGACATCAGCTAGGGGAGAGCACTCCTACCTCCCCAGGAATTTGACATCAGCAGGCAGGTGCTGCCTGGCTTCTTCATGGCCGCTGAAGCTGGAAGTTTCTGGCCTAAGGCAGGCAGAGTGCCTGGGTAAAAGGTGACCTAATTATTAACGAGTGCTGCAGAGATGAAAGCCAAGACACAATCCACCCCTGAGCGGACACTGAGAAGATACTGAAAGCAGTAAAAATTAATCTCATAGAAAAACACAGTTAGCAGGATCATTTCTACATCTCCTTCCACCCAGGGTGAAGCGGGGAACGCAATGAGCCCACATCTTCAGCATTGCCTCCGGGTTTCACAGGAACGGATGAGTCTTCTGCTGGGAAAACATTTTCCATTCACATTCAAGTATCATTGTTGGAGGTTTAAAAACTCTCTTTGGAAGCCAGAGGATGCTGGGAATGAAACAGACAGTGCTGTTCTGGTCCTTTATTTCTTGCATATCTCAAGTGGTTTTGGTCTAATGGATGCTAGGGTGTGGAGAACACACCCCACACAGGGACCCAGCATGTGCAGTGAACGAGCCCCCTGTCCACCCTCCCAGAGTTCCCAGAGAGCCCGGGTGTGGAAGGCCAGAGGCACACAGACCTCTCAGAGAAGGTCATTATCTCCAGAGACTGTTTCTACACAAACAGGACCGGGACTTCCTTGCCTCCTAGGTAAAGCAGACTCTGTAGGAAGGACTGGTCATGCAGACCCAGCGGCCACAAGTTCAATACTGTTCGTGTTTCCCTTGACAACCAGAGCTCTACTCACTCTCCCCGTATGAGTCACTGTGTCTGACAGGAAGCAAATTAAGGATCTGGCAAGATATCTTAGTGGCTAAGGGAATTGCACACAAGTCTGAGGACCTGAGTTCAATCCCAGGGACTCACAAAGTGGAAGGAGAGAACTTACTCCCAGGAGTCTCTGTCTGACCTCCACATGCCCTCAAGTAGGCAAATAACTAATAAAAAATTAAAATATAACATGCAAAAACATTGAAGGGTGATAGCTCTTTGGGCTACATTACCTCTGCACTAGTTTTTAGGAATGTCCCAAGCATCAACATAAACCATAGACATACAACCTCAGCGCTACAGGGCCAGTCAAGCTGTCCACAGATCCACACGCCCTCTGAGGCTCTGGGCAGGACCTGATGCTACCTTTGCTGACAATCCTCAACACTCCTTGACTTGTATCTGTGTCATTCCACCTCTGCCTTGTTTTATGCTCCATGTACTGTATTCCTTCTTCACACAAGAACCCCAAAACCCAGGTGACCCTAATGGGGGAAGTCCTGTATATATGTCAATAAAGCACTGTTGGCCAATAGGGAACTAAGATAGGTGGGACTAGGAGTCCAGGAGGACTCTGGGTAGGAGAAACAGTAAGAGTCAAGATGTAATGCCATGGAGTAGGAAGCCCGGAAACCTCTCCGGTAAGAGAAATACTTAGATTAACAATTATGGGATAAATACTTGTCAGAGCTAGCCAGTAAGAGACAAGCAAGGCCAACAGCTTCATAATTAATATAGCCTCCTGTGTGTTTATTTGGGACTCATGCGGCTCTGGAATCAGGCTGGCAGGAAGGCTTCTCTCAAGGAAAGGCTTCCCTTTACATGACCCCCTCTTAAGAGTCTCACTATTTTCTACCTGTCAAGACCCTATTCGCAAAGACAGTCATATTCTAGGGTTGCAGGCAACATTAATTTTGGGAGGACAGTATCCCACCCAACACAGCCCCTTAGCTCCTAGTAAATGCCCCTTCAAGTTTAGGGGTTTGCTATACCTAGCCGTGTAGAAACAGAACACCGGCGAAGGGTGGTGGTGTGTACAGTGAAGATTATCCTGCTGGCCCCTGTGGGGCTGGAGGGCATAGGTGACAACAGAAGCCAACTCAAAGACTCTGCAGACGGCCCAGGGGCTTTGGGTGCTGGGTAAGGAGCCCAGGACAATGTGACTGATGCAGCTTCAGCACCACAGCTGCATGTTCATGAAGCCAACTTCATTCTAGAAACATTATATTCTCTTCAAGGTCCTGTCTCAGAAGCGGATGACGTGTCTAGCATGATAGAAGAGCTCTGGTCCAGAAGGAAGCAGGCCGACTTAAATGGATCAAAATTCAATTGCCAGGGAATCTGCACACAAAGATTTCCACCTGACCTCTGCAGAGGGTCAGAGAAAAAAGGGAGACTGCATGATGGAGAGGACATTATAAGTTATGGCTGATACAAAGAAAAGAGAAGGCAAGCCATGGCCAGATGTTCAAGGGCAGCTCAGGGCTTTTGGGCCAGAACTGGCCAGGGGGTCAACTATTAATTTCCCCCCAGACTGAACAGAGAGGCCCACCACGCTTCGGAAGGCTGTCTGCAGTGTGGCCCAGCTCTTGTCTGTCAGCTCCAGCACACAGTGATCTCCCATGGAGCTTGCATACCTTGTGAATGCTCCCAGAGACCCTGGCTCCCCAGAGCAAGCAATGAATTGTGTTCATCCATTTGTGGGCCCTTAAAAAATTCAATAATGAATTGAAGCAGACAGTGCTGTTGTTACTCGAATCTGGCCTTTCTGTGGCTTTGATGCTGGCACGGTGCTTTTATAGTCATTTGCTGGCTAAATAATTTAATACGAGTTGTTTCTACACGCTAGAAGCTCCGTACTTTGCTGGTGCTGGCTGATCCTGGAATGCTGTGAAGAAAAGCAGGAAAGAGCCAAATGAGATTATACGATTGGGTCATTTATCTCCAAGTTCATGCACTAGCTAGCTTGACCTCGGCTGCCCTCAGTTTGGTTCTGATTTATGCTGGGTCATTCTTAACATGGTGACAGGCAACAACATGAGAGCAGATTAAGCTGGGGGTAGTGAAGTTCATTCTTGGCCCGCCTTACTTTATGGAAGGGGAAACTGAGGTCCGGGAGGCCATGCTTTGCTTAGATCTTCATGACTCATGTCTCTCTAACCATGATGGAAAAAAACCAAAAAACAAAAGGGGTGACTGGAACAGCTGGGAGGAAGTGGTATCAGACACAGGTGCTGTTCCCTCCCACTGGAGTCCACATGGAAGCCCAGAGCCCGGATGGCCTGCCTAAGCAGAAGGGTGGGAGGAGGCTGAGGGCAGGGAGGGGGTGTGGCTCAGGCAGGCAGAGTTCTTCAGGTGTCTGCCATGCTCCCTTCATTGGTAAGCGCCCTCTCCAATATCTTAGTTGTTTATCTTTTCCAGCTGAGAAACAATGCTTGACAAGAGCAGAAAGGGGGTTTCATTTCAGCTCCCAGTTTGAAGCTTAGAAGTCAGGGGTTTGAGGTAGCTGGTCACCACATCACACCTGATGCCAGGAAGCTGAGATGAATGATCCTGGCCAGCTTGATTTGTCTGTTTTGTTCAATCCAGGACCTCAGCCCACACAATGGTGCCGCCCACATTCAGGTTGGACCATCCCACCTTAATGGAGCTGCTCTGGAAACTCCTTCACAGGCATACCCACAGGTGTGTGATTCTAGATCCTGTCAAGTTGACAGTGTCAACCATCACACTGGGCACCACCTGTGTTGGTGGCCACCTCCCAGAGGGTGGCTGGAGGGACACCTGGAGAGCCCACCTGGTGACTTTGGTTTTCACTGCAGTGTGGCAGTTATCGGCACAGTCAAACGCTTGTTGCTTCTCCTCCATCTGTAAAATGGGTACAAGCTGCCCCCTTCATTGCTCCACTTTTGTGGAGCTGAAAAATATAAAAGAAAGGAAAAGAAAAGAAAGAATGGAAGAGAAAGGATTTCTTCTCACCCTTGTCGTTGTCATCATCCTTGCTATTGAACTCTTGCATTGGAGTAGACAATGGGGCTTCTGCCTTGAGGCTCTAGGAAGTTTCCAGGTGGGGGTGGCATTTGTACCACCTGGACACGAAGAAGGACCTGCGTTCTAGGTGAAGTTGAGGAGGGCTTGTTGCTTCAAAGTCATGGCCGGGTAGAGGGGGCTGAGGCACGAGTACATGAACCATGTACTGCAAGGCCAACCACAGGGTGTGTCTGGTGACTCTAGGGTTAGCCTGGTCCTTAAGCAGCACCCAAAGACTGTTGAAATCCTGTTTCTGAGTGGTCAGAGGCTGGCATGTGGATTGGTAGACTGTGTGGATAGGATCTGTCCTTGATCTAGTGGGCACCACCAGCCAGCTCAATCAGTTCAATCTAAATGGGACAAATAACTCTTGTCAGTACTGGACTCAGACACCCCCCCATTGTTTTTGGCCATCAGAGTTCAGGGCTGTCTTGCTGTGGCCCCTATAGTCAAACTGGAGCCCTTTACAGGGGGCTCACAGTCCAGAGTGAAATGGATCTTAAAAGTAATATGGGAAAATTAGCAATCATTGAGATGTTAGTTTTAAGTCTTTAAAACAATCTCCTCCCAACCCAACCCAACCCAACCCAACCCAAAACACTATACAGGCCATTTTCTATGCCTCTGGGTGTAACACAAAAAATAAATGACCCAGAGACTGATATTGGGATTTAAGCTTCAAGCTGAAGATCAGAAAAGCAAAGCAGCCAGGCACTAGCTCTTGCTCTACCTCAGGCTGAAAGGCGATCCTGGCTTCACCAAACCTCAGACTTCTGCTTCTCCTCAGTATGGCTGCAGAATCCTGAGACTTCGGTGTCTTCCTAACCTCAATATGGCTGGAGAATGATTGCCTGATACTGACCACTGAAGATCCCACTCCTATCTTTTATATCCTCTGGTGCTGGGATTAAAGGCATGTGATCCCAGGTGCTGAGATCATCTTTGTGTGAGATGTTTTCCTTTAGGACTGGATCAATCTTGTGTAGATCTGGGTGGCCTTGGACTCAACTCTGAGTCCTAGGATTAAAGGTATGTACCACCACCTCCTAGTTTCTGGCTGCTGGGATTAAAGGTGTGTATCACCATTGCCTAATCTTTATAGCTTGAGGCTTACTTTGCTATCTGAATCCTCAGGCAATCTTTAATAAATCATAAATAATATATCACCACATCTGGGTCCCATAATAATATTTACTCTGTTCCTATGTACATAAGCTAAGAAACAGAGTCAGCCCCTTTGTTTCCTGAACATTTCTGGCTACTTTTTGTGGCCAAGAGCTAGGGCTCATGCGGCAAATAAAATGCTAGGTACCACTGCAAGTTGTATTTGCATTTTTTTGTGTACACATTATGCACTTTGGTAATGCCTGGAGTTTTCCATGAATGAGTGTTTTTGAAGTAAGAACAAACCTAGGAAACGGAATGTCACAATGGTGTCACGGGCAACCCTGCCTCCAGCATGATCTGGACTTGAATTTCCTTGCTGTGCCTTGGAATGTGATTTTCACACTTCCTGAATGCATAGGGATAGAGTGTACGGTAAGTGGAAACCCATCGGATGGACTGCTCAGAGTATATTTCAAGTGTTGGGACTTGGTCCCCAGTGTTATTATGAGGTACTGGAACCTTTAAGAGGTGGAGTCTGCTTGGGGTGGGGGTGGGGCTGCTAGGGCACAATATCCCCATTCTAGACGCAGGCAGGGCGTATTGAAAAAATGAAGTTCTGCCTGGATTTACTTGTGTCCTAGAGGGACATGGAAACTGCATAGAGGAGTGTAGAGAGTGAGCTGAGTTATAAAGAGGGGCCGATGTTGGATAAGGGCTTTGAAGGGGAAGACCTAACCGCTAAGACAAGGGGTGAGGAGACATTCTGGATGGAGGAGGCAGCATCTGGGAAAGTGGTGTGGGGTGGGGATGTGGCTGGAGCACACTTGATTACTCACACTCGCCAACATCCATCTCCCTAAGATGAATCTGTGTGCTGACAGATTGACACTTGACAGGTGGTCTGGAAAATGTCATTAGTGAGGGTGCACACAGAGCATCACCAGCAGTGATGGTGGGTACCAAGTAAGAAAGCACATCAGGTAGAGTAGGATTTCCAGGAGTTGAGAGAGAGGAGCAGTAGACAACTGTTAATATCATTCTTTAAAAAAAAGGACGGAGGATCTCTGGTTTGATGTGGCTATGTACTGGAAGGCAGGGCAAGGACTTCAATAGCCACCAAAGCTGCTATGGAGCCTGTCCTGGGATCAGATGACAGCTTAGACTTCTAGAAGTTGTCTAGACTCTGAAGCCCATCCCAGGCTTGTAAGGAGCTGTGCAGCCTGGAACTAAGCTTCTCTGAGTTGCAAAGATGCACACAGTACTCCCAAGGATGAGTTCCCTTAGCCAGTCAGAGGGCTAACAATACAATCATAAAAAGTATCCCTCACCTTGCTTGTCCAGCAGGGACAACTAAAACTAGCAATGTCAAGGGTGCAGAATTAGAAGCCAAAACGCTAATAACAGCCATGACAGTAACGATGCAGTGATAGCGCCTCTGAGTCTCAGAGGTTTCACAACTTCTATCTTACAGATGGGGAAACCGAGGCACAGGAGTTAGCCCATTTGCCCATCATCCTAAAAGAGAGATATGATTCAAACCAGGTCCTATGGCTTAGGTGTGGTTTGTCCCCATGGTCACACTGTGAATGTGCCACAAAAGAGAAGGCAACAGAGCCCCAGTGCGCATCCCTGCTTTCTGACTGCAGGTGCAATGTGACCAGCTGCACCCCACTCCTACCACCCCCTCCCTTCCCCAGCGTTACAGACTGCACACTCAAACTGTGAGCCATGACAAATCCTCCCTCCTTAAATTGCTTTTGGTAGGTGCAGCTGGTCATGGCTCCAACCCTTCCATCTCAGTGAACACAATCTAAACACTCCCTCACAGACATGCCCAGAGGTGTATCTTCTAAGTGATTCTAGATCCTGCCAAGTTGACAATCACATGGTCCACCTTACCAGGGCTAACTAAGCCTATGCTGACTTATGCCTTTGAACCTTACAACTGTGACTGAGATGAACTTTTCTTTATAGAGTCCTCAGCCTCTGGGGGTTCATTATAGAAGCACAAAACTGACTCATAACTATGGTGTAGCTGTGGCAGGCAGCCTGGAATTCACTCGTGAAGAAGGGAAGTCACAGAAACCTTGGCTTGGGATGGCAGGTTGAGGAACAGCGTCTGAATGCTAGGGTTGGGGATGGCTTGTCTCAGTAGTAACAGGAGGGTTCAGGGATGCTGAGGTATACTTCCAAGACTCACCTGGATAAATCACATATTCTCTCAACAATTCTTTGTGGCCCTGGGAATTAGGCTGTGGATGCTAGAATGGAGTTGAGGTCACTTAAGTGGTGGGTCCCACAATGTGGAATTGCTGACCCCGGCTTCTTCAACATAATCCCTCCCTCACCAAGTCCCCGAGTTCTCCAGAGCCATCTTCATCTCCTCTTCAAATTTCCTGGGCCCCCAAACTGCTGTATCCTTGATGTCTATAGTAAGTTGAATGTGGGCTCCCTAAAGATGTGGCCATGCCCTAACCCTGGGGACCTGTGAACCTGATTTTATATGCCCCAATGGCTACCACACACACTGGCTTACAGCAATGGATATGATTCACTTAAGGCACTTTGGTGAGCAGGTCTCAACTCAGTGAGGAGGCGAGACACAGGTGGGGGAGGGCTAAGCTGGGAGTAATGTAAAGACAGTTTGGAGTGATGTGGTCACAAGCCAAGGACTGCGTGGGCCACCAAAGCCAGAGGAGGAGGTTTCACCCCTGGAGCCTCCAGAGCTCACACTTTGTGGACTTCTGGCCCCCAGGGCTGTGAACACCTTTCTGTTCTTTTAGCGTTGCTAGTTTGCGGGACATGTGTTCTGGGAGTCACAGGAAGTGAATATGCTACCTCTGCACTCTTTCCTATCTGGACGTCCTCCCCTGAGCATGCTCCCTGTTCTGAGTCTGTCACACCCCTGGTGGGAGCTGATGCTTTGTCCATGGAGGGTTACATTTCCTGTGCCTGTCATGGGGTCCAGATATAATAAGCAAAGAAAGCCACACAGAAGGCAAGAGCAATGTCCAGGCCAGCAATCCACAGCATAACTGTAGCTGCCTCTAGGACAGCCTGGCTCTTGCAGTCTTGGAGGGAGAGGGGATGACCAACTTTATTGCTCCTTGGATGGGTTCTGACTCCAGAGTAGACTAGTGCTGCTGTGATCTGAAAACAGCTCGACACTCAGATGGAGATACAGCCACTCTCTTGTACAAACCAGGCAGCCTGACTGGTAGGCACCCTGATGCCTGCAGGCTGGTGCCTGGGTGTTTATCTAACTCTATTTTCTGCTGTTAAGAGGGCAACCTGATGTCACACAGGTACCTTGAAGGTCCTTCCCTCTGCCTCCTGGAAAGGCACCCTAGAGGGAGCTCTGGACCCTGGCCAGGCTTTTCTGGCTGGACTCAAACACAGCCTTGAACTCGCCAGAAGTCTGAGTAGGGAAGCCCTGGCAGCACCCCCTCCCCCCTTTAAAGAAGGGGCCATCCTGGAGAATTTGGGATCTGGACCCACAGGCTCTTCCTGAAGGGTTGGGTTTCTATTACTTCTCGGGGTCCCCTGGGGATGTTTAGGGCCGAGGTAACAACCATAGGGACATGTAAGTTCTCAGGGTGCTGCTCCTCCTGCACCCTCAGCCCTACTCCTTTTGTAGCTCCCATATCCAAGTAGCATTTCCTTCTTACAAGCAAGTCTGGCTAGAGGTCTGTAAAGTGCAGTGGACTTCATCCGGGTAGCTGTGGCAACTGCCTGGCCACTAGTCAGGCACTGGAACTCCATTCTTCCTTCTGGGTCTCTGTACTACTATCCAGGAGAGCTGAGACTGCGGTAGGGAGATCTTGCCTTCACTTCCGCCCTGATCGCAGACAGCTTTGGCTAGCCTGCCTCTCCTGGCGGCATCCTAAGCTCTGAACACCTGTCTCCTTGTCCTCTCACTCCAGGCATGCATCCGTAGCCATGGGACAGCGCTAAACCTCCCTCTTTTTATAGAGACACGCCCTCATTTCCATCCCCCTCTCACCCACCAGCCTCACACTAAGGGTCACCTAGGTCTGTCATCCACATTGTCCTCCGAAAACCTTCGTCATCCTTCAGGATCCTCAAATCGGCTCGGCGATGTGCCAGAACCTTCTCTCCCTCCCTTTGGGACTTGCTGGCTTCCCTGCATCTCCCACTTCCCTTCCCTTCCTCCCTCCCGACAACCCTGCGCTCGGTCACCGCCCCAGGGTTGTGCATCCCGCTGGGGTATCCCCCAGCTCGGCATCGGGAGCCTCAGATTCTCCTTCCCCTGGTCTAGTCGTGCGCGGGGTCCCCCGGGGAACCCCCCACTGCAGCCGCGTGCTCCTTTGTGCGGCCGATCCGCGCACGGGCGGCGCTGCGTCAAGGCGGAGGCGCATCGGCGCGGCCCCACGCGCACTCCCGCGCGCGGCCCCCGGGAGCGGCAGGAAGGAGGCGGCGCGCGGAGGCGGGAGGCGCAGAACCCAATCGCTGATCCCCCGGCCGCGGCGCCGCCTCCGCCATTGCTGCACGCGGGAGCGGGCGACGCGGAGCCTCGGAGCGCGCTTAGAGCCCATACTTGCCGGAGCCGGGCGTGGGGTGAGTGCGGGTGGGGAGCCGGGTGGGCGCCCGAGCATCTTTCACGCTGAGGATCGCGGGAGACGCGCGGGAGGCTAGCACCGCGGGACGGGACGCATTCGGAAAAGGCTGGGCACGGGTGGCGTCCCCTAGCCCGGCCGTGATGAGCCTTGCCCTCTGAGGAATGGGAGTCTAGAAATGCCCATCAATACATAGCCTGGAGACCCTGATCTGACTTCGATCGCCGCGTCCCTGCTACCTCTCTCAGGGAGACCAGGCGGGGCCAGCGGGTGGGTGTGCGGAGTCCTCCTGTCTGTGCCCTGCCCCGCCCCGAGTGCCGCTCGCCCTGACCCCCACCCGGCCCTTCCTCCGCAGGCCGCAGCCTCGAGTCTTTTGCAACAATGGTGAAGTTGGGGAACAATTTCGCAGAGAAGGGCACAAAGCAGCCACTGCTGGAGGATGGCTTCGATACCATTCCCCTGATGACGCCCCTCGATGTCAACCAGCTGCAGTTCCCACCCCCGGATAAGGTATGAGCCCCCGACATTCCCGCGCTGCTGGGTGTGCACCCTTAAATCTTCAGCTGCAACCGAAACAAAAGAAACGCCTTGTGCGCTTTGGGGATGAGAGGTGGGGGCGGGCTCAGTCAAGAGGAGGAAGGCAGGGCGAGCACAATGTACCCTCGTGATTCTGGGTTTGGTGATGCTGGAGACCCCCTGCCTTAGATGACACCTTCGTGGCAAAATTCCTTAGTGGAAGCCCCCCTCTTGACTTTGGCGGAGTCTTATGAGGAGCGATGCTTGTGGTACAGGAGTCTGGGGTTCAGGGGTGAACCAAGGGAGCTGGCCCTTGTGCCATTTGGGGGGCGTGCGGTTTCAGCTCCAGTTGCCTTACTGGGTGTGTGCTCAGAAAGAGTCTTTTTCCTCTTTGTTCCTTTTGTGAAATCGCCAGATCTGAGCTCAGCTCACCAATGCTAGTGTAACCAGGAACATCTCTACCGTGATGCGTTTTTCTTTTTTCTTTTTCTGACTTAAAGACTCCCCTCATGAGTACTACATCCAGGGGGTATCATTGCTCCATACAGATCTTTTCAAGCCATAACATTTAAAAGCAAATTCTATGCTTAAAGTAGAAGATAGTGTTGCATTACTCTAATGTAAAACCACACGCCCTGAATCTTCAGTCCCTACACACAAAGGAGCTTGCTCAGGATTCCCACATGCTTTTACATTTATTGCCTCAGTTTGTTCTCACGAAAGAGGCTCCTACTCTGGGCTCTGCATCCTCTGGGCAGATAGAATGGCGTGTAGGAGGGAGCTGCAGCAGGGTCTTCTTTCATCCCCGAACTTAGCTTCCCAAAGTCTCTTTAACTCTATTGTCTGGGTTTTTGGGGGTGGGGTGGGTGATGGGAGCAGGGACGACGGGACTGGTTGCAGGTGTTTTCATTTGAGAAGGTGAGATCAGCTGGTCATAGCTGTGCACCCCACACCACGGCTGTTTGCCCAGACTAGCCTTCATAGGGCGAGCAGAGCTACTGAGTCTGTGGCCTCCATATTATAGTGGGGTGTCAGGACTTTGTCCTGAGTACCTCTACCCCTCCTGCCTTGCTTGATACACGCAGCCAAGGAGCACCAGAGGCCTGCGCCAGGAACCCTGTGTCCTGAAGCGGCACCTCTATCAGGTGATTTCCTCCAGTTGATTCAAGCCTCTGTTGCCCTCAGTGTGTTCCATTCCAGAACGGCCTGGCATGGCCACAAGGTGGAGGGCTTCAGGCAGGTCCCACATTCTGCCGCCAGCCCTGTTGCTCGGGATTAGGCTAGCTAGAGGTGAGTAACTCCTTGACCTCACTCTCCCGATCCAAGGGAAACAGAGAGCCAGTGGATTCCCGGAAGAGGCAGAGCTGGGGAGGCCAAGACAGTAATGTCCTCTCTTGGAGTAACTGATGGGGATGCTCCAGAAAAGGGCATCTCTGCGGGAACCGGTCCTTGAGGGTTCCAAAGTCACAGAGGAGGAGGCAGATTCACAGAGTTCATCAAATGCACCCAAGGTCATCATGCTGAAGGTCACTGGCCTCCGGGATACGGAAGTCGCTAGCCTGCTTAGAGTTGGACACCTTTCACACTTGACAAGAGTCAGGGAGGTTGGGGATATGATTTCCCAGTGTGGAGAGCTGCCAGTCACAGCAGCAGCAGCCGTGTCTGACATTCGTTAGGGACGCTTGCTGCACCGGGCACTGTTCTGTGCACTTCATAGGCTGAACCCCAACATCTCACGTTGCTGCAGGGCAACTGCCACCATTACCCTCATTTGATAGACACAGCAGTGAAGGCCTAGAGAGTTTGAAAGGACCTGCCCAAGGTCACCCGTCAGTTAGTGGTAGATGGAGATTGAATTCAGGTGGCCTAGATGTCCTCACCCTCACAGCTCTGGATGATATAGGCCTTATGCCCTCCAGGTTGTGGATAGGACAGGAAGAAGCCTTCTGTATTCATGGCCAGGTGAAGCGGCTCCAAGTGTGTGCTCAAGGTCACATGGGTGCAGCTGGGATGTGAGCATGGCAGTGCTTAGCGCTGCCTTGAGATGATGCCTTCAAGGAGTGGAGACCCCGAGTACTGCAGGAGAGTGGCAGGCCAGGGATGAAGCTTGACAGTGCGCACAGAAGTACAGGGCTCTCTGGCTCAATGCCAGGCACAGGCCGCTTTCTCCTCTATGACAACTCTTGAGGCTGGCTCCACAGGTCATGGCTGGAATGGAGAGTTCTTCAGTCACTTGCTTGGGTCCTGTCCTGAGTCACTCAGTTCCCTTTGCCCCACTGTCAGGCAGTGGGTGTCTCCCAAGACACTCCCCCCCCTCCCAGGAGAAGTGTAGGGGTTGGTTCTCTGCTGTCCTGTAGCCACTGCTGGACACCTATTCTGGGGAGTGAGTTTGGGGATTAGAGGTGAGTAACTCCTTGACCTCACTCTCCCGATCCAAGGGAAACAGAGAGCCAGTGGATTCCCGGAAGAGGCAGAGCTGGGGAGGCCAAGACAGTAATGTCCCTAAAGGATGCAGCATGGGCTCCCAGGCTGGTGTGAAGTTGCAGGGCTCCAGGGAAGTTTGTACAGGGCAGATGCATGGGTTTCCAGGTTCACAGGAGAGAGTGGAAGGGGAAGGAAGGAAGGAGACTGTTCAGTGCTGTGTAGTCCAAGAGGCTCTCCCCAGAGTAGTTTATTCCCAGGCCCTAGTTATGGGTGCTAGACAGTTGTATTCAAGTCTTATCCAGTGACACATATGTTCAGCAGGGGGCAGCACAGAAAAGCCAGTAGGAAAGTAGGGTGTCCTCCCCACTCCCTGGACCAGGACAGCCATAGTGGGTACTTGGTCTGCCAGCCATTAGTCCCGTGGCCTCTGTTCTGCATTTTTTCCAGGACTGCTATAGGACCATGAATAGGCATCGTATGTGAAAGTGCCCCGCAGTGGGGCTGCTCTCACTGCCTGGAGGAATGGTGGGTATCTTAGAACAGCCCCAGGGCAGAAGGGGCTGAACACATTTAGCTTATCACTGACCTTGTGCCTCTCTGTTTCCTGGCTAAGGTTGTTGTGAAAACCAAGACTGAGTATGAACCTGACCGCAAGAAAGGGAAAGCACGTCCTCCCAAGATAGCTGAGTTCACTGTCAGCATCACCGAGGGTGTCACCGAGAGGTTTAAGGTGAGTGAGTGGTTGTAGGCTGAGCTACCCTCAGGAGGCATCCGCCCAGCTGCAGAAAGCTCTTCTAGAGGGAAAAAAAATACGATGTGATTCCACTTATCCAGGCTCTGCAAGCCCAACAGCTTCAAGCTCCCAACCTGGAGACTCTCCATGTGGTTTTTTTTTTTTCATTTTTTAAAAAAAAGTTTCTTTTTTTTCTTTGCTTCGTCTTCCAAAACAATCACATATTGATTATTTTTATAATAGGGAAAACCCATTCATGAACTTCCCTTTAGGGGAAGGCAATAAATGTGAACAAACATTTGCTAAACATCAAAATATTTACCTAACAGTTTCAGGAAGGAAGCAGACAGCTTATACCCATTCCGGCAGGGCTCTGTGCCCTGCCCCTTGACCCCCAGTGCCTATGCAGTCTTCTCTAAGGGCTGCCACAGGAACAGGGTGCTCCTCTCCTAGGTCTCACCTCATGAGGGTAGCGAGAGGACTGCAGGCTCATTGGTCCCCGCTCTCTTGGCAGAGCTGTGACCAGAGTCTGCCTGGCTGCAAAGCCCATGCTTTCAACCTCCAATCTTTCTTTACTTCCTGCTCCCTCTGACGATGGCCGCTGAAAGGGGTGAAGTTCCAGTGAGCCCTGGTGGGAGGAGCCTTCCTCACAGCAAGGGTGTGTGTCTTCTAAAGTGGTATCTGCTGAGGAATAAGCTGGGATGTTGGTATTCTGGAAACTCCAATCTTTGGGAAATGTGAAGGGGAAAGAAAAGATGGTGGCCATGGCCCAGCTTTAGTTGGAAGACATCCTCAGACCTTGAATAGTGGTTCTGGATGCATGGATGGTCATCCCCACTGGGATGTATGAGCAATCTGTTCATGGATGTGGAGGCACATACCATCCAGCACACATTGCAGAGCATCTGTATTATCTCCTGTTTCTTGGGTGACCGTGGGAACTATGGAAGTCAGGCTTAGGGACCAACCCCAGATCATAGCTGCAAGGGAATCCAGACAAGCAGAGTGTCTTCATGGAGTATTGACTACAAATCCCCTGTTTCCCATTGCTGCTCACTGCTGTCTGGGTCTGCCTGGTGCAGTGGATTCCATGAGTGTCACTATCCTCTGTGTCCCTTGTGTTTGCTTGTGGTAGCTCATCTGCTCATCTGATCCTCCCAACCTCCTTCCTCCTTCTTGCTAATCTAGTAACAGGTACTGCTTCCAGATGGGGATTCAAGGTGAAAAGGTACAGAGGTCTGTGTCTGCATCTCTGTGGGTATAGAAGCATGTCAGGTATGCTGAGCTACTCTTCCTGGCTCAGGGGTTGGCAGTTAACATGTTTGAGATTCATGACCAGTATTAAAATGGATTAACTTGAGGTCACCATCTCCGTTCCACTGTGGGATCAGCATGGTTGTCCTCTGTTTGCCATTTTTTTTTTTTTTGCCTATCAGCATCATGGGCACTTGAGATCAGGTGCAAGATCAGACATGAATGTCAAAGTGACACTGTTTGAATATGTCCTGGTTTCTCATGTCTGATTGGACTTTTGTCCCCATCACCAGTTTAGGTCAGTGAGTAGTGTGGTACCCAAATATCTTCTCTATCTGTTGAATGTCTCTGTGTGCCAGGATCTGTCTCCTCAGGTGTTATTGGTTTGTGTTTTTCTCACATGCTTACCTGAGGCAGGTCCCTAGGTCCCTTGCCTAAGGCACAGGTGACGCACATTTGGCCCCAGGGCCCTAGGCAGTCATGGCTGGGCCTCTGTGTGGTTACCTGGTTTCTGTTGCTCAGAGCCTTGGGGCTCAGAAGCCCAGGAAGACCTCAGACAATCTCCACCACCCCAGTGGGCAAGCTGCTGGTGTCAGGAGGCTTGCCTCCTCTCTTGCTATCTCCGGGTGTCTGGGAAGACATTGGATACAGTGGGGACCCACTAAAGGATTGCTCTACACTGCAGTATTGCCCAGACTCACACGGCTGTCAGTGTTTCCCTAAGCCTGGCTTCCGTGCCTCCTTTAGGACTCACTCTGAGAATGGCTGGAACTCCCCACATCCTTGGTTCTAAAACCAGTACCTCCATTATCAATGCCCATGACCTGAGCTCCAGCCCCAGGCAAGAATTTATCCCTCTCTTTCCGACCCCACTGAGGCTTACAGAGATGAGCTAACCTCAAGTTCCTGCTGCACTCTGCCAGGAGGTGGTTTTTCCAGAAGCAAACTTTTTATCTTGTTGAGTCCACAAAGGCCTCAGGAAGTAGGATGCCGTAGTTCTCTCCGTGTTAGTTGGGAAAACTGGAACAGAGCTTGAGTTCAGGAAGCCTGCTCTTGGTTGTGGTGTTAGAGGCCACAAAGGATGTCTCACCATACCCCTTTCCTCTGTTGACTCAAACCCTGTCCCAGAGCTATGACACAGAACCCAGCAGCCGAGCCAGATACTACCTCTGACAAGTGTCCTTTTCCCGCTTATGTCTTGCTTCTGTGTCCTGCCAGCCCCACCCCCCGGCTGTCCTCTTTTAAGAAGCTGGGCTAGCCTACACCTCTCTCTGGCCATGGGCCCTGTGATCTGATATCCCAAGCAGGTACTGAAGAGTGGTCTCATAAAGCAAAGGCCCCTTGACCTGACTCGTGACTTTGAAAAGGAAACCAGGCCATAGGAGCCCTCTGAGAAGTGAACACTGGCCAAAAATGAAGGTGTAGGACCTGTGTGCAGACAGCACTTACGGGCAGCCCATGCCAGCACTGCCGGAGTCCTCGATACCATCTCTCTGGCGCTTGCCGCACTCTCAGTAAGGACTGGCTAAGTAAATGAATGACTCATCCATCATTCTGGTGGACTCCTGTGGAGGGGGCTTGGCACGATTTCCAGGGTGTCCCTGTGGACTCCTTAACAGCAGGCAGCTCTCCTGAGGTAGCCTTCTTACTGTCAGGGATGGGTATGTGCTCACTTGACAGTTGTCACAGGGTCAGCAGATGACCAGCTACATACAGGCTTCAGTCAGGAAATGGCAGAAGCCTGATAGGATCTCTCTGAGCAGGCTGAGGTGAGCAGCCTCCTGGGGCACTGAGGGCTGACTCAGAGGGATGATCCATGTCCTAAGGATGTCCCTTTTGTCAGATCTGAATGCTTCACAACCAGAAAATGTTAGTTCCTTCCATGTATCTGGGAGTTCCATGAGGTTCCACCCAGCTGACATGCGTTTTAGCTACCTCTGCAGCTGGAGTCATGTCTTCATGGTGCGTGGTCTGGCATAGCAGCAGAGACATTTGGAAGGCGGGAGCCCTTTGGAAATGCTAAGTAAGAGTGTCCACCCTTCTGGAAAGTTCTCCTGGCCTTTAAGACTTAACAATATTTTGTGTCCCCGATTGCACACATACAATAGGCCGTATGGCTGCTGTGCATAGCATCAGATGGTTAAAGGTTGGGGGTCTTTTCTGAACATGGCAATTTTGGGGAAAGAAGAGGCTGTCTGGAATCAGGGACCCTCTCTCTCTCCCACCAGGGATTAGTCACAGTGGTGGTAGGGACAGCACACCATTCTGATGGTGATAGTTTGGGTCTTTTCCTCTGAAGTGTGTAAATCCTCGGAAGGAGAGCCTGCCTTTTAGACCTTGAAGCAACAGATAATTTGTGTGTACCTGTGAGCCTCTTCATCCTTAATTTGTATTGTTACAATGTGCCCATTTCTCTTAACTTCGGAGGGCACCCTTGAAAACAAGTGTCTTTTTGAATAGTACATTGTGGTTATCGCTGGAGGATTAATCTCTTGGCTGCAAGGTTGCTAGGTTGGTTGCTAGGTAACAGCTGGTGGTGGGGGGAGGTTCTGTAAGATTGCTATAGAGGGATAGCAGGATGAATCACCCTGTGGCAGCCAAAAGCCTAAGCTTCCAATGAGCCTTGAGTCAACGGGGAGAGCATCCATTTAATTAATCAGAGGTGTTTTTACACTGAGAGTAAATGCAGGCAAAGATGTTGCTCAAATGAACTAAACCTAAACATTAAAAAAACAAACAAACCGCGCTTTCCCACTTGTGCAGGCAGTGTGTAATGGGCTGCTGGGTCTGCTTCTTAATGTCCTGGAAGATGGATGCTCCACAACGAGGCAGGCTCAGGGAAGGTTCTACCAGCATTCTCCTCTGCCCTATGCTTTGTGGCTTCAGGTTGAAGAGGGCTGACTGAGGTCACACACACCCTCCAGTTAATGGTTTTATGATGGAGCCACACCCCTCTCTGGTACCACCACCCCACTCTAGCCTTGAGAAGTTCTAAGGCCAGCCTCGCACACGACCAGCCTTTCGAGGTCAGTGAAGAGCTGGGAGGGTATCTCAGGAGAGGCCACGTAAGGATGGTCCTCAGAGCTGGCAGGCAGTGCTGCAGTGGAGGTGTCCCTTGGCATGCTATCGCAAATGATGCTGTGGGTGGTTTGTTTCTTTCTCTCGCATCCTTAATGACCTTGAGCTTCCTGTGAGCCTGCTCTCCACACTCTCTAATAATCCCCATGGCAGGTTCCAAGTCACACTTATTATAAACGGAGATGCAGTTTTCCTACATCCAATAGAGAGAGTGAGTGTGTGTGGGGGTCTTTGTTCATGGTGGCAACAGACACCTTAGAAACTTGTTTAAAGACCCTGATGACCTGTACCTGGGACCACCCACATCTGCAGCTACAGAACGTGCAGGTTCTGGGTCCAGCTATGGAGTAAGAGCTCCGTTCCGGCTCAGGTAAGACATAGGTTGAATCACTGTGGAGTACGTGTCTGTGTTCTCCTCTGTGTAATACCTAAACTATTTAGCTCTGCAAACACTTGGAGGTTTCAGGATCCATTCTCGGAGAGGTTTTTTTTTCCTTCCCAGTACTGCATTAGTCAGCGAAAGGCTGCTTTCCTTTCCTCCCCCCTCCCCCTGAGGGATGGAGGACAGAGACAGTAAGTGACCTAGCGCCATCGACCTGCTCAGCCTGGGCCTTCATGAGCCTTGCTTGTCCTGCCCTTGGTGGCAGCATCAGACCACTAACCTTGCTATTCTCGTGAAGGAGTAGCCCCAAGGTCACTCTGAAACGGGGGAACGCAGGACTCAAACCCACATCCTAGGACGCTGACCTAGGTTAGAGCGGCTCTCCTGGTGTAGCTGGCTGTGACTCTGCTGGTTCCAGCCTAATGGGAAGTGCTGCGAGAACAGGTCAGTGGCAGATGGATGACCATAACCCATGCATAAGCCGTGACACGTGGGTGAAAGGTCAAGTGGGCAGTGATGCTGAGCAGTAATTGGCGACCAAGCTCAGTCAGAGCACCAAGTCCTGCTTCATTGGGGTGACCCTGAGCCCCCTCCCCTCCCTGGGGTCACACCCTGAGCTCCTTCTTCTCCCTGGGGTCTAAACCTGAGTCCTCTCTCCTCCCCATGAGTCTGCTGAAGCCAGAGCAGCCCTGGGCAGGAGGCCCTGGGATCTGAGGAGAGTTTTTTGGAAAGGAACAGACTGTGTCCCTGGTTGAGACCGAGGAGGAGAGGGGGTTCAGGATGTGACCAAGTGAGGACACGGTACTCAGGGCGTGACCCCAGTGAGGTGAGGAGAGGGGGCTCAGGGTCACCCCAGTGAAACAGGAAAAGGGGCATCCTTGGTTCTTAGACCAAACTCAGACACTTGCCTTCCTCCTCTGGCCCATTAAAAATAGTGGTAAAATACATATATACAACTCACCATTTCAAAGTACAGTTTAGTGACATTTAACAGTCACCAAGTTGCCAACTGTCATATAGTTTAGAACATTTTATTGTCTCAGGAGCTGACCCAGACACATCAAGCAGCAAGTTCCACCTTCCCATAGCCCCCAGCAGCCTCTGATCTATTTTCTGTCCCTGTAGATGTTCATCTTCTGGACACATCACAGAACAGACACACTGTGCAACCTTTCACGTCTGACTTTTGCTCAGCAACACATTGTCAAGGTTCATCTGTTGTAGCATGTATCAATGCTTCATTACTTTTGAAGGCCAAGTAATATTCTGTTGTATGGACATACCATATTTTCTTTATCCACTCAGCCATTTTTGGACTCTATCTTTTGGCAATTGTGCAGTGTTTCTTTGTATGAACGTTTGTTTGAAGACCTGTTTTTCTTTCTTGTAGGTAAATACCCAAGAGTAGGAATGCTGATTGCCAGAATAATTTTTATATTGTATGTGTTCTGGAACCGCCACTGTTTCCTGTATCAGGACCACCCATTTTCATGGCTCTATCAGCAATGCATAGAGTTTCAGTGTTGCCTCTGCGCATCACCAGAACTTGGTACCACTATTACAGTGGGTGTGACATGGCAACTCTTTGTGGTCTGATTTGCATTTCCCTGATGCTTAGCAACACTGACCTGCTTCCTAGGATCTTGCCACACCAAGGACTTTTAGACTCCAGCTCCTTGGTGTGCCAATGGGCAGCTCAGTCAGCTGGCTCATGTCCCCACACTTGCCGGGTCATAATGCTACAGTCATCATGTTTTTGATCCCACAGTCCTCTCTGGTTGTCACCTCCCAGTGAACTCTTTATCCCTTGAGAGTGATGCTCCTCCAGGAGGTCTCAGAGCTGCCTCTGAATCCTGCCTCTCTTGTGGCACTTATTTGCCTGTTTTAAATTGATACCAGGGTGATTCGGTGGAACGGCATGGCTGCTCAGCCGTCTCTTGAGATGGACACTTTGGGTGGCTAATGTCAGATCCCTGAGAAGGTTCCCTCACAACTTGGGATTCCAAAAATGGGAGAAGGTAGGACCTTCTGAGTTTGAGGGACTTTGGCTCCTTCTTAAAGGAGACGAGAAAAGAAAATGGTGACAGGTTTGGTCTAAAGACAAGCCCAGTCAGTCTGTTATGTACTCGTTATAATATTTTTCCCCCTCTGATTTGACACACATTTATCTCATTTGAAAACTAAAGCAGTAGGTGGGCCTCATGGAAGGCCTGCAGTTCCAGTCAATTGTGAGGCTGAGGCAGGAGGATTGCCATTTCATGGCCAGCCTGGACAACTTAATGAGGCCTTGTCTCAAAATAAAAAATGGACCCGGGCACTATGTCTCATGTGCCTGGGAGAGAAATGGCCCAGAGATGCTGTTTGTGCATCAACTCATTTCTCAAGGGACTTTCTAGGTTATGTCCCTGGTTCCAGAGAAGGGTGGGAGTCAGCCCTGTCTGGAAGCCTGTGGCCCTGTAGACCTTCCCAGGTCATGAAGGGAAAAGCTACACTGGGTACAGCTCTATCCTGTATGAGACTATTTAATAAAACCAAAATGCCCAGACCCCTGCAAGCCATGTTCATGCTGCGTCTGCTGAGTGGACAGTTCCTGGGTTTGCTCTAGGTGCCAGAGGCCTGCTCAGTAAGGTCTCATTTGGAGGCAGGCTGTGTCAGCCTGCCCTGGGGTGGGGCTCCAGGGCACGTGTTCCTTGCCATTCTGTTTCAGTACCTTCACTTCCTGCCTCTCCCACATCCCAGTCTCTGTTCTCTGTCCCCGAGTCACCCTGTCTTAGGAGGACACCCATGAGGTGATGAAGGTTCACCTGGATAACCCAGGTTGTCTCCCTATCCCAAGAGCTTTGGGAAGTTCCAAGGCTCTCAGTCCACCGTGTGTGACACTGGAGATCTGGTTGTTGTTCCTCCTCCACATACATGCAGAGGCAAGAGGACAGTCTTGGGTGTCATTCCTCAGGTGGCAGCCACCTTTTTCTTGAGACCAGGTTTCTTTCTGACCTGGAAATCACTGACTGTACTACGTTGGGTGGCCATATCCTCCCGTCTCTATCTCCACAGTGTTGCAGTTACAAGTGCATGCCATCATGCATTTTTTATAAATTGTGGAGCACCTTCATTGCTGTGGTGAGGCAGAACACCATAATGGAGAGGGTCTAGTGAGGCCTAACTGCTCACTCATGGCAGCTAGGAAGTTGAGAGTAAGGGTGGGGCAGGAGAGTTGAGGAGAAGAGAGGCGCGGGGAGGGGATGGGGCAGGGACAAGATGCCCCTTCAAAGGCACCCCCAGTGCCCACTTTTTCTAACTAGGCCCTCCTAACAGCCTATTGGGAGTAACTCCCGGATGAAGTTGGCATCCCACACTCATCCATTCACCTTAGTGGCTCTGCCAGCTGGTGACAACTTCAACAAGAAGCACGTTAGGGGAACACTTTGATACTCAAACCTATTGGTAGCTCAGTAGCCTCAGGTTACAGGGATTCTGCCCATACATGGGATCCTCTGTTTGTGACCGTGACTTCCACTCAGGCCAAGAACAGGGAATACCTGGGCAGCAGGCAGCAGTTCTGATGTCCAGTCCCCACCCGATACTCACTGTCATTGTTCTGGGCGGGGCTCCCGTGGTGTTAACACATAGCCATAACTGAGACGACTTTTTGTGCCTGGTCTGGGTCATCAGGAGAGGCTTCCATTTCTCTTCTTTCATGGCCCCTTCGTGGTTCCTAGCTCCCCTGGTGTCCTGATGACCCAAATGAAGGCACTCCCTCTTTGACATGTGGGCCTTTGTCATGAGCCAAGTGTGACATCATGGTTTTCCAGCTTCTACATGGAGGCTGCAACACTAGGTCAAAGGGCTTGGTGTGCCCACTGTGTGCCTGCCTGGGATCTCTTCCAGATATCACCGTAAACATCAGGGTGGAGCTGGAACCTCTTTTCATAGGTGAGGGGCTCAGGATCGCAAGGGGTGTCCTTCTCGGGCCTGCTATGCAGGGCTAGCTCACCTGTGCCTGCAGTGATTGAAGGATGGATGGGTGGTGTAACTCTCCTGCTCGTCCTTGTACAGAAAGCCCCAGGGAGACTCCCCAAACCTGCAGGAATTGCAGATGTCTGACTCAGTAATTTTTGTTCTGTGTTCTAGAATATTACCAACTGCCTCGTGGGTTTGTATATGTGGCAGTGGGGGAGGGGGAGTTATGAAGGTCTCCAAACTGGGACACACCTTATTCCCCTGGGGTCAGGAGGAGCTCGTGTTTGGTTATTTGATGCCTGCTGTACAACTGGTGTCCAGAACAAGGTTGGGGTGTTCCAGACCCTCCCTGGGGCCTGAAGACTGCCCAGGGGCTTGGAAGGTTAGCAAAATGAGAAAACACAGCCTTCATCCTGGGAAAAGATGGGGTACCTGCAGAGGAAGTGCGGTGGGGGAACTATCTTCAAGGGAGGTGAGTCAGGCCTGTGCTCCTAACAAGCCTTGTGGCTGCCTGAACAAAGAACCTCAAAGTGGGGGACCCCAGAAGCAGGTTCTCAGATTTTTGGAAGCAAGAGAAGTCTCAGGTTCAAGTGTCTGGGGCACACTGCCTCTGATCCTTTGTGTTGTGAAGTTACTGCCATCTCGGGCTGTGAGGCTAGAGAGGCATTTTCCTGTCTACATGAGTGTTCCTGTTAGTGGGTGTCTCTGCCTTGTTTCCTTCTCTCATAAGGACACTGGTCAGACTTGACAAGCACCCACGAGAATGACTTCATCTTAACACAACTCATGCGCAAAGGCTCTTTTGCAAATGAAGCCTCAGCCCCGGGGACTTGTGCTGGACACACCTGTGGGGCTGGGAGCAAGGTCCCAGCACTCTGTCTTGTCATTTTCCTGATACTTTTAAGGCTGACAGACATTGTCCCCTGGTTTTATGATTTTTTAAAATTAAATATTAGTTACCTCTGTGTGTGCTTTTGTGTGTGTGTGTGTGTGCCTGCCACAACACTTGAATGGAGGCCAAAGGACAACTTCCACCATGTGGGTCCCTAAGATTGACCTCCAGCCATCAGGCTTAGTGGAAAGTGCCTTTACCCATGGAACCAACTGCCAGCCCTGATATATTTTATTTTATTCTAAGGCAGGATTTCAAGTAGCCCAACTGGCCTTGAATTTACTGTGTAGCTGGGAGTGACCTTGAACTTCTGACCCTCCTGAAGTGCCTGGGTTACAGGTGTTCAGCACTTCCAGGGCACAGCCCTGTGGGCAGGGGCTGTGAGAGGAGATGCATGTGAGTCCCTGGCGGGTTGGATTCCTGCCAGGTGGTGTTTCTGGGTGAGGTGGCCTGGGTTGAGATCCTGCTCCGACACGGTTGTCACTCTTGGACCCTCCCACCAGCCCTGGCAGTGGCCTCTCCGGACCTAGCACTGCCAGGGAAGGCGGCTGTCACTGGACGTTACCCCTTCTTTTTCCTATACATAGCTTCCTTCTTCATCAAGACCTACACTCAACTCCCAGGGCCAGAATTTATGCCAATGTCATTCCCCATGGTGCCTTGAGCCCTGAGACTGCATGGTTCACCATGTCTGTCCCTGAATCAGGCATGAGCTCTATGCACAACATGGTTTCTTCAGATGGATTGGTGACAGAGGGGACAGTTCCTGGCTGCTGGCATGGGAGGTAGCAAGCCAGCACTGTCTCTGTGTTTGTACAGCCTGGTGTCCATGGACCACATGCTGGCTCCTAGGGTCTGTCCAGGGATCCTGAAGCATCCCCCATGCTTCTCCATCTCACTCCTCTCTCACCTCATGACATGCTTTTGTCCACATCACTGTTGCGCATCTGTGAGGTGTGTGTCTCCTACACTCTTGTAGCTTTGTGCCTACCCAGTGTCGGGCATTCTCGTGTGTGGCTTATGCCCCAAGGAAACCCAAACATAACCTCTGTCCTCAACATCACAGAGAGCAGGAGTTAGGACAGAGCTCCTGTTTCTGCTTATGTGGTTCCAGCATGAGGGCAGCAGTGTCCTCACACTGAGACCACCTGTGGAGCAGGTGACAGGTGCTCAGCTCTGTATGTCAAGGGCCCAAAGTTGCCATTACTGTGGTCTTCTTGTGTCTGGCACAGGGCTTACCTTGTAGCCTTGGAATACTAGAAACCCATGAAGGTGACATGTGGATGCGTAGAAACGTTAAACGCCATCCAGAATGTTCAGTAAAAGGTGATTCCCCAGACTGAGCAGGTGCACACTCCTTGTGTGTATGACTGCTTCTGCCTGTCAGTCAGCTGTTTTCCCAGCCCCATGGTGTTCTCTCCTCTTTCCACAGGTCTCTGTGCTGGTTCTCTTTGCCTTGGCCTTCCTCACTTGTGTCGTCTTCCTGGTTGTCTACAAAGTGTACAAGTATGACCGCTCCTGCCCTGATGGGTTTGTCTTGAAGGTAAGGCCTTAGATCCCCGGGGGTGCCTCTACACCTCTTCCTCCCCTATGGCAGTAGGGTCTTGGCTGTGCATCGACAGCCGGGAGAGTCCTCACTCAAGGTCCTGTCTAGCAGCCAGACAAGGAGGCAAGAACCCCCGGGGCTTACCCTTGGGTAAGAGTCCCCATGGGGCAGAAAGTGCCAGTTGACACTTCTCTCTAGTACCTGATGGGGGTTGAGGGCAGTCACCAAAAGAAAAGCCCTGCCCCAAGCCACACATAGGGGGCTCTCCTGCAGGTTCCCCTGCGGGAGTTATGTTGGCATCTGGACTTTATGCACACATGGAAATGTTCTCTCTGCTTCTGTGCCTCCTTCCCACGAGCCTGCTGTAGGCACAGATGCATTTACACAGGACAGAGGAAGCAAAACTAAGGGAGGGAAGATGGGGTAGAGGGAGGAGACGGAGCAGAGCAAACGTGTAGGCTTCATGTGCCACTCACTCCTGTCTGGTACTGAACTTTCCAGCTGATAGGAAATGGTCCTGGGCAGGTCTCTGCACTGCTGAAATGCAGACATAGCAGGCACTGAGCGTCTGTGCTAGCCCCAGTGGCTCATGCGTCTTTGCTGGATGGATAGGTCTGGGTTTTGCTGAAGTGAAACTGCAGTTCTCTGGCAGAGCAAGTTAGAAGAGCCGAGCATTCACATACCCCACCCAGGACCTCCTCCTCCTTTTACACCACGAGATCCTTCCAGGCTTCTGACGAGTCTGGCTGTTCAGGGTGCAAGGCTACAGCCAGGAGTCATTGATGCAAAAATGGCTTTCCTGAAACCCTTCTGGTTCAAGAAACATGAGGCAGGTAGGCATGTATATACTGAGTGAGGAGGACTTGGCATGGAATATGGGGGTCTGCCCTTTCTAGAAAAGGTGGTCCGTCGGGCAGAGTAGGGGTGTGCTTGGTGGGAGAATGGCTAAGGTACAGCCAGATTGTACACTGCTAGGCACCCTGAATGCCTAGCCATGGCCCTAGGAAAGGACTGTGGTGAGGATGGTCCCTTGGCTCACCTGGAGGTTGGGAGAGGCAGGCAGGAGCTGATGGAGGAAGCTTCTGCAGTGGGGCAGGGAAGAGAGGGTCTGGATGGCAGACATAATGTGAGAGGCAGACCGGTATGGCAGGGGATGGATACGAAGACTGAAAAAGGCGGCCAGGAGAGACAGGAGTGGCCCAAAGCTGGGTGACTCAAGGGCCGCTCTCAGAGGTATCAGTGGTGCTTCTGAGGGAAGCAGGATGGGCAGGGGACAGCTCCCTACTGCAGCCACAGATGATGGGCAGCACTCTACCAACCACAAAGCCAGCCTGGGGCAGGTCCCTGCCCAGAACAGGGAGAGACTAAAACATCTGGCTCCATTCGGTAAACCCAAATTGCTGTGAGAGAAGCTGATGCAGGAGGGTGATGATGATGATGATGAAGGCGGGATCCAGGCTGACATCAGATCAGGTTGCTGGCAGTGTGGAGGGGACTCAAGATCTGCATGGATAAAAGGCACTACAGGGCTTGCAGTCCTCAGTCCCTTGGGAATTCAGAACCCTATAGGCAGTTCTGGAAATGCACTACTCTGGGCTTGTACATTTTCCACCAGTGTCTTAATGGTGGTGATCTTGATGATACAACTAGGAGGTATAAGGGGACATGCTGGGTGGGTGGGGGAGGCTTTCCTCCATTCACGTTTAGGCATGTGCACATTCTATATCTACTTGGGGTGGAGGGATGGTCGTGAGTCACACTCACCCTGGATGTATGCAGAGCCTAAGGGGGGCATTATCCCTCCTCCCTTTTACCAATGGGAAATAGGATTCAGAGGTTTTTGGTCATGCCCCAGAGTTCCTTCAACTCCTCAGCATATAATTTCTAGGGCTTCTTTTAGTATACCAGCTGAGCCCTGGGAATCTGGCTGGACAGGATACCTGGGGGGAGGGGACCCCATAAGCCTGAGTCCTACCAAGAAGCCCTCCTGCCAGCTGAGAAGTGTGCAGAGGCAGGAAAAGGCAGACAGAGGCAGGGTGGTGATGTGTGCCTTTGATCCTTGCACTCAGAAGGAAGCAGCCTGGGCCATAGTGAGACCCTGTCTAAACTCCACAGTGACCCTGGCCATAGGACACCCCTGTAGGTGACTAAGGCTTTGTATTTTATTTCTTCTACCAAAAGGGAGTGTGACAGTCTGTCTCCACATGGGAATAGACTGAACACCCGAGCCCCCAGCTCCTTCCTCGGGTTTGACACCATCAGCCCCTCAGAGGGCCTCTCAGCATCTTTTGGTAGCCATGTTATGTGGGAGGTGTCAGACACCGCCTGCTGTCCTCTCTCAGCTAGGCATCAGGCAGGGGCATTTCCCAGCTGTCCTTGGATGCCCATACCTGTTCCCAGCAGTTGCTGCTCCTCTGGTCTTGGTTGCATGCACAGCAGGGTCCTGTGCTGTGTTCCAGACTGGACAGGAGTGAAAGTGGTAACTGTAGCCTTCTTCCCACTTTCCCAAGGACTGGAGAGGGATATGTCAAGGACACAGTGAGCGTGGCAGTGCAGGCTAGAGGAGCTTGGTCAGCTGTAGAGTCCTAGCTGGTCCACACAGCCATTTTCTTCTGCAGTGTAGGGCTTCTTTGCACCAAGCTGGGGTCGGGACACTCCAGGCTGTACTCTGGAGGGTTCTTGGAATGTCACATCTTTTCTGTTTATCATCTTTGGCCACACCCTTGCTTCTGAGCTGTCCCACACTGACTCTCATCCTTACAACAAAAGCAGCCAGGCTGTGTGGCACATTAGCCCAATTTTAAAGATGGGGCGACAGGCTCCGGAAAGAGCATTTGGGAGCTCAGCTGGAGCTGTGGCCTGGCCCTAAAGCTTGGCTTTGTCTGTGGCACCCAGCTTCAGGCCGTGCTGCCCCGGGAGGTGCTGCACCAAGGGCAGGATCATGGTGAGCACCCTCTACAGCTTTGCGGCCTTTTCTCAACTAGCTCTCAACACTTTGGCATCTCTAAGCTTTGGACTTCAGGAGCTAGTGAGCTGCTATGGAGACCCCAGTTTCCCCAGGCAAGGGTTGATCCTTTACATTGTTAGCTACTTTACCAGTGGTGAAGACACTTCTGAGGAGAGGCACAAGGGGTGGCAGCCCAGAAAAGAAGATGGCCTCGAGGCTGGGGCCACCTGTTTATACGTTCACAGGATCCTGAGTGCTTAATGTTGCTATTCTCATCTTACCATTCATCACCTTCCTAGACGGCACGGTGACGATCCACAAGCCCTGCGTGCTGGCAGCTCTACCAGGATTCTTTATATACCACCTTCTCCCCCTCCTGGAGAGGCCAGTTGTCCTTGCTGAGTGACCAGCAGGACTCGGTCAGCACCTATGGCATAGGCTGTGCCAAGTTCATAGTCACCTGCTGATCAATCCCCACAGTCTGGGCCCTACACCCATAGCAGGCTTTGTGTGGGAGGGGTCCTTAGGAGAGACGGCTCACTTTCAGATCTGCCCAGATGGCTGTTCTCCATGATCGCAGCCTCCTTTCTCCATCAACATCCTTCATGCTCGGCCCTGTTATACCAAGCAGCAGCAACGGAGCAGTGCCAAGTGGGTCAGGACTCAGAGGGAGATATTACATTCTAGATGCTGTGGACTTTGGTTGAATAAGGAAGGACCACACACCAGGAGGCCAGGTCAATGTCTTGTCTCTCCTTCCTCTTTTGGGAAAGGGTCTCCCACTGAGCCCGGCAGCCTGGGATTACAGCTGTGCCATCCTCTCATGCTCCCACTGTGCAGGCCTGAGCCACTCTGAGTGCCAAGGGTTGGGAGGGGTGGCAGTATGGTAGCTGCATCACCAGGAAGCATGGGTGGTTAAGGCGAGCCGGCCTCCACTCCTGAGGCCATGTGTGCCAAGGCAGGAACTTAAGGATGCTAGCTGGATGCCAGGGGCAGAAACTGAAAAAGAACAGGGCAAACCCAATGTCCTGGGGGGGGGACGATGCGAAAGGTCTGCTTCACACTCTTTATGTCCTTGAGCTGGGTGGACACTGAGGGATTGACACCCTGGAAGGGTAGTGGACAACAGTGACAGGAGGTCCCACCTGGAGCGGAGTTCTCACGTTTGCTTGTGTGGTTCTCATATCTGCTTCAGCGAGCCTCTTCACCTCTCTAGGCTCCACTCTTCCACCTATAAAATGGACTGCGTGGCATGAACCTTGCAGTGAGAGAATTAGCCTGAAAAGTACAGACCCGGTGTAGGCCAGAGGGAAGCCTGCATGTGGGTGTACACTGCAGCACCCTTCTTACGCTGCCAGAGGAAGGAGAGACGTCTTGAGATCCAAGGACATCCTCTAGGGCACGCACCCAATTGGGTTGTCTATAAACTTGCCTTTGGCTTTCAGACTCAGGCAAGAGGAAGTTCCCAGGAACTATTCCCTGGTTCCTTGGGATGCCTACCCACTACACTGGAGAGATACCCTGGGGTTGGAGATGGAGACACTAGATCATCCAAGAGAACAACTCAGCATTGTGTGTCATGGGGTCAAAACCAGAAGGGCTCTCTTGTAATAGGAGTAGGTCCTGGGCTGTGGCCTTGCCTGGGATGCTGGATCCACTCCTCAGGGAGACACTTGAAATAGAGACAGCCTCAGAACAGATCTGCTAAGCCACTCTGGGCTCAAGGAAAATAGTATATGAGTCTAAAACTCCCAGATAATGGCTGAGGGCTCCACCTCTGACTCAACTGTGGGGTCTCACAGTCCTATTTGAGCAGGCCTGGTGACATCATACTTTGGGTGTCTAGACAGAGTAACAGTGGCTTCAACAGGGTGGGTAGTTTATTGCCGGTCTCAGAAGTCCAAATGGAAGGCAGTACAGGGACTCATCTGGAGCTCTGGTTCCGTCTTTCCCTGCTCTGTGGCTCTTGAGGTTTTGTCCTCTGGGTAGTCAGAGCTGCTTGTGAAGGGGAGATGTGGACACTGGTGAGGACACAGCTGTTCTTTGGGAGCCAGCCCCAAAGCCGCTTGATACAACCAAGATTCTCTTGGCTTGAGGTTAGTCGCATTGTCTTATAGGGCAGGTTAGAAATGCAGTCCTTGACCAAGTGCATGGCTCAGCTCAGAGGATAACTTGATAGCTGGTTCTCTCCTCCTACCATGCAGGTCCTAGGGATTGAACTAGTGCTGCCAGACTTGACTGCAAGCATCTTTACCCACTGAGCCAATTCACTGGCCCGCCCCCAAAAGCCTTCCTTGGTGTTCTTCCTCTTATTTCAGGTTGACTGCAGACATGTTAAAACTGTCCTTTCTTCTAATAGATGGATAGCCAAGGACAACAAGCAATTAGAGACTTGGTGAAGGGAGGCATGGTGCCTCTTACACCTATCCTGGGAGCCCTGGTGCCCACTGCGGCCCAACCAATCTTCTAGGTAGCTATGCCTCCAAAGGATAGGCCCATTCATCTGTCCAGTGTTAGTGTTTAGTGTCTATTTCTGTAAGCTCAGGGAAGATGCTTAAGAGCTATTTGGGGGGATATTCACTGCAGACACATTCTGGTACCCCCTTGTATCTACCACCATCTCTATGGCCTTCTGTCTTACAGAACACCCAGTGCATTCCAGAAGGCTTGGAGAGCTACTACACGGAGCAAGACTCCAGTGCTCGGGAGAAATTTTACACTGTCATAAACCACTACAACCTGGCCAAGCAGAGCATCACGCGGTCCGTGTCACCGTGGATGTCAGTTCTGTCAGAAGAGAAGCTGTCGGAACAGGAGACCGAAGCTGCAGAGAAGTCAGCTTAGCGAGCTGGGCGGGTTCCTTACAATGTGTCACTTGAAGGCAACAAAGGGACTTTGAGGGACATTTCATTAAATATAATTACTGATAATTTAGAGGTTACTCATTTACGGTGCAATTGCTTCTGTTTGCTAATGCTGCTTTGCAAATAAAACTTGCTGCGGACCACCCACAGGCATAAAAACAAGCGCATCTCAGCATTGCTTAGAGAGCTTGACGCCACTGTTCATGGTGAGGAGTCTTCATTTAGCTCCTTCACTGGGATTCACTGGATGCTGTTAAAAGACAATGTACACTGGATATGCCAGGGGTCTGGCCATCAGAGCAGTGCAATTGGTGGTTTTCTTTTTTCTTGTATGCCCTTTTGCTATCTGCAGACCTTACTCCATAGCCATATCTAGAGCGATCCCATGCTTTGCTGGCAGCATTGCTAACTGCCAAGATGCACTGCTAAGTGGCACAGAGAAGGGAACGTGTGTGCCACGATGCAGCCCTGCCAGCCCCTGCCTGGCAATTCTGGGATGTCCTCTTTGGTGTATGCACTGAGCAGAGCACAAGGATGGGGTGGGGAGGAGCTGGTGCTGGGCCAGGGGGTGCAGAGCCTGTTTCCTGTGGGTGGGCTGTCTGCTGGTGATGTGCTAGATAGAAAGAAACCCCACCGGCCCTTTTCTTTCCTGTTATGAACATGTTTGCACGTACAGCCCTGTATGCAGGTGCGTTTTGGTTTTTCGTTTTATTAGCTGGGTGGGCAAAGTGAAAATGTAGTTTTGGGTAAGCCAGGGCTTTTAATCTGTAAAGAGATGTGACTCCTGTGCTGTGAGAAGGGGCAGGACGGCTGGTGGGGGGCTGATGTGGCACCTTGCAGAGACAATATCCGAGTCTACAATCTTTGTAAGAAAAGTATGTTTGTTTCAATCTGAATCTTGACATTAAAGTATATGTTTACAAAATCACCAGTAGGTAAACTAAATGTGTAAGACAATTAAATAGAAAAAGCTATTCATGGTTGTTTTCTTCCATGTTCTCAGAATGTGTTGTTTCCGGTGGGCATGTTGGAAGTTCTAGTGTTCTTTAGTAGGTCAAAATAAATGGCAAGTAGTGGGGGATTCTTTGTCAACAAGCATGGGACCATCATCAGCTCCACTGTTGTTTTCTGAGGTGTGCTACTGAGACAAAATAGTTTATTGTTGGAGTGTTCTGAAACAAAGACCATGAGCTCAGCACGAGTGGGGGCGGGAGTGTCACGCAGTCATGTGTTTGAAGGGCGTTGGGAAGCTGTGAGGAATGCCTAAAGAGCAATAAACATGTGCCAAAGCTTGCCCTGCGTAGGGATCTGACTCACGACCACGTGAGAGCAGGAGACAAGCCCCATTGTTTTCTAGTATAGCACTTTACCCACTGGGAATCCTCCCGATGTAACTTCTCATGTTCACTCTGCAAATAAAGAGCTCATGGGTACCTGAGCTGCACACTGGACTGTCTGTACTCATGCGCTTCAGCAGGAATTGTGTGACACCAGGGTAAATCTGTGCAAAGATGCAGGCTGTGTGCTGCACATGTCTAGTTCTCAACAGGCAACCCCGTGGCCTCTTCTAGAGGCGCAGGTATGCAGGAACAAGGGCAGAAGGCCTGCCCTTCTGAAATCTACACCCTTCTTGGAACACAAGCTTCAGGGACCTAGTGGCAGGAATCCAGGCTTCACATGCCCTGGGCCCTGGCTTTGCTGTTCATACGCTGGGAGCCAGGGCAGGAGAGAGGCCTAGAGGAGGGCACCACTGTGCCTGTCCAGCCAGGTGGCAGTCGGAGCTGCCCAGTGGGGATGCACTGGCTCCAGTAAGTGGCTGTAATTGCATTTATTAGCTTGACAAGGCGGATGTGAACTATTTTCTATGACAAAATGGCCACATATCAGCATATATTAGACGCCACAAGGAATAAGAACCAATGACTTTAGAAACATTAGGCATGTTCTCCCCTGAGGCTACTGGTGTGGGAAGGCAGGAGACGAGGCCCCAAACACGGCAATGGGGACAGCAGGCGTGCTATATCCCTGCCCTGCTCAGCCCCACCATGCTTGTGGCCTCTCTTGGAGGTGCAGCACATGACTGCCCCCCACTCCCAGCGCCCTATCCTCTGAAAACTGCCTAGGACACTTTCAATCCATGCATTTCCAGGTCCTGAGAGGTTGCAAATGTTGGCTTGGGGGCCACGACTCCCCAGTCCTTGGACCTTACAGAGCTCCACGGCAGACGAGAGACATGCTGGCATGGCGTGTCTGAGGCGGCAGTGCAGGCACGGGTGCAGCCCTGGTGGGCTAGCTGTCATACCAGTCAAGGAAGAGCAAGGAGAAGGAGCACATCACGAGGAAGAAGAGGATCCACACTCTGAAGCCAGCATTGTTTTTGATGGCCTGGTGGGAGGAGCACAGAGTCAGCGCCACTCTTGACTGGTTTCAGAAGCCCTAGGCACCCCAATCTTCCATGTGTACCTCCATGAATCTCATGCTCTCCTTAGATAGGTAACCTCAGTAAGAACAGAAGTCACCATGCATGGAGACCTGACAGAGAACAAGTGCCTTGCATTTCATTTTAAAATGACATTATCTCTGTATGAGGGTCGGTTGGGATGCATGTCATGGTGTGTGTGGGGGTGTAGGGCCACAGTTAATTCTCTGCCTGTACCATATGGATTTCAGGAATCAAAATTACGTTGCCCTGGTTGGCAGAAAGCACCTCTGCCTACTGAACTTGCCTTTCATCGTCTGTCCTAACCTCCTAGGACTCAACTGCCCAGGGACTACTCAGGTCTGACCCAGGGCTCAGGTTTCCCAGGGATGCTCTTGTCTGTGGTGACAGTGGGCCAGCCTGGAGGTCTGGGCTTTAGAGACAGTCTGCTCACAGGGTTGAGTGCCTTCCACAGACAGTTTCTGGGCTCTTGCCCTCCCTCAGAGGTTTATCTTCAGCTTCACATTGTCCTGGCCCTACTTGGATGCTCTCCTACCCACACTGGGCCAGGAACTACTTTCTCTTGAGAACAAGCTGAAAATAAGTCTATGAACACATGCTCTTAGGCTGGCTGACAGTAAACCCATGACTACAGCCGCAGGATCGGTCCTGAGTGATACACAGTGCTCTTGAACAGCCTTACCAGTGAGACTCAGGCTGTTGAGACACAGTGCTGGGCCAAAGCAGACCCAAGAGACCCAGATACCCACCTCTCGTATGTCTTCGTTGCCTTCCTTGATGTTTTCAGTTGCCCCCACGACTAACTGGTGAATGCTGTCAATCTCAGTTTCCTGTAGAAAGAGTGTCACATGAACCCAGCTATTCCCCCTCCACCAAGAAGATATTCCACAGGTAGCTGCTGCCACGTTTCAAGCTCTAAAGACTGTACTTACACAGCTTAGGAATCCTCACCTGAGAGGTGGCTAGGACTCAACACAAAGGGAAATTTATGGATTAGAGCTGTTTACTGACTTATTAGAGGCCACACAGTATCCGAGTGGCAGGACTAGGATAGGCTCTTACTGGGCTGGAGAGCCTACACCGTCTGCTACCTATCACCTCTCCTGTGACACTTGTCAAGTGACAAGGACAAACATGACCTGCTGATTCTGGACTGGTCACTCCAGCAAGGGCTCTCTTCAAGAATTCCATTTATTCTTTATAAGGTCTAGAAGTCAGCTTCAAAATATTATAGGCTTTGAAACACACAAGCTACCCAAACAGCATATTTTAACCCACTGCTAAAGGGGTTAAAGTTAAGACATGATATGAATTGCTCGATGCAAATGTCCTGTGCAGATGCTGAGAGAACTTGAGTAGGGGTGCTGGTCACGGCTCAGGAGACCATCCTATAGGAGACCCCACCATACCAGCCATGTGGTACTGCCTTTGATCTCCCTGTTGAGGGGCAGCAAGGTATGCCTAATGTGGTTTTTAGGGAGCCCTGCCTGATAAACTGCTGCAGAGTGGAAAGCAGGCTTCAACCACCCAGTTCCTAGCAGGGACATCACTTGGGTGCACATGGACCAGGAGTTGAGGGGTTTACCATAAACAGTCCCCAACACTCATAAAGACAAGGTTTTGGGGCCTCAGAAGTCCAAGAGGCCCTTGACTGGACTCTAGAGGGACACCACCTCCCCTGGGGCAGCTCTCTTCTCTCTCAGGGGGACTGTTTGCCTAGGCCTCTGGTACAGCCACTGCTGTGACAGTTAGTCTCTCTTGGTAGAAGGCTGGGTACTGGAGCCTAAGAGACTGTGACTCCCTTTCCTACATGTGGCTAGTCATGGGGTGTCACCAGAGTAGAAGACACTTTCCTGTGACACGTGTGGTGTTACTGCAGCAGGGCACTACCTGGCTTGGTCAGAGTCCCACTAAAAGGCCTGCCATAGGCCAGGTAGGTCAGTGGTCCTACTTGTTGGTTCTGAGAGTGAAGCAGGGCTCACCAGCTCTACTTCTGACAGGAACTGGGCTTAGGAGAAGTACTGGCCACAGCATAACAGGTGGAACGTCCAGACTGAAGCCTGATCTTCCTGCAAGTTGGGTGTTTCAGACAAGGTGAGCTCTCCTCAAAGCAAGCTGCTAGACCAGGAGGAGCTTGCTTTGACGGCTTCCTGTGTAATGCAGCTGACATGAACATCAAGCTAAAGTATCTGCACAAAACCCATTTGCAGGCTTCATGGCCTCCACACACTTGGCCAAAGTCCCAAGGTCACCTGGAGCAGTCCTACCCCCTCAGACTGTGTTCCCGAAGCAGCATGGACTGACTGGATGGCACTAATTTCTGGAGCACTGTGGACCAAAAGCAGCACTCCGTTATGCACTGTGCAGGGCTCGTCTGTGGTTATCTGAGAACGTCACAGCAGTCCTGTGTCTCACCCTTCCTACAGATAAGGAGCAATGGTGTGGAGGGGCTACCTGTCTCCCAGCCCTAGCCTGCACCCCTCCACCTCCACCAGACACTCTAGCTCACAGGGGCTACTCTACTCTAAGCCAGGTCCCCATATGGAGCCCTCAGCTGTACCATGGAGGGTTGTGACTGGCTAACAAAACATGGTGCTGCCTAATCTGCATCATTCAGATGCTTCTGGAAGAGGGTTCTGAGCTCTCAGTCAGTTCTAAGCCAAAACTCAAAACTGCTGGGCCTTTGGGTCTTTTTACCTGTTGCAAGACTTTTTCAGTGAATATCTCTTGGAGTCTGGAAATTTCAACGACTTTCCCTTCGATTTGCCTTCAAAAAAGAACCAATCAGTGACATGTTAGTTATTAGCTCTTGGTAATCTAAGAGGAACAGTCTACATTCCTGAAGGAACCACCAAGGTGAGAACCACACCAGATGGGGCAGTGGGGGAGGGGGAGGGGCTGGGCAGACACAGTAAGTCCTCAGCATAGCCTAGTGACTACTGCGGGGCGCGTGCTGGAGAGTCAAAAGGCATGGTCACTTGGAAAGTCCATCTTCAAAAAAAGTCCGTCTTCCTCTCACGCCAGCTCCTTTGGCAAGAAAATGCTCCAGTTCAGTGTGTGATGACCCCATTTGGTTTAACAACTAAGTCCTTGCCCAACTTGAAATGCAGGGTGAGCCCTTTTCCTGCTTCTTGCAGCTTGGGGCACCCTGGGGTGGGCTGGGGCTAGGCAGGTCTGAAGGTGGAAGCTGGCTGAGGCTGAAATTAACTGCTGCATCACAGCTGCTGCTAAGTCAGTGGCAGGAGGAGAAAGGTGACAGGGGACAAGGAAGGACTTGGGGAAGAAACAGCAAGGTGGGTGGAGACAGGGAGAGCTAGGCTAGGAAGAGGGAGGCCTTGGAGAGCCATCTTTGGGGCAAAACCCCTGGGGCTGCTGAGAAGGAGTAGCTCTGCGCTGAGTAACTCCCCAGGCTGGGAGGGGCTGCACCCTCAATGGAACAGAGCTGTTGCTATCAGAGCACTGCGATACTCCTGTGGGACAAAGGCCCTTGAGTGAGTTTACTGGTGGTTCCAGACACTCGAGCGTGAGCCTGGTCACCTGGAAGCAGACACTGCTGGAGCAAGCCCCATCACAAGGTCCCTACTACATCTTACAGCCACTCCACCCAGGCAGCCCTGTTCTGGTGGGTGTGGTCCCACTTTTGGGGTGATCTGTCTTTAGCAATTCTCTTTCTGCAACTGTGGCACCCATGAGCCTGCTGTAGCAGCCAGTCTCCTCCCACAGGCCCCGCCTGGTTACATGTGGGTGCTTGAGTGCCAAAACAAATGGAAAAAGCCCCCAGTGTCTAGAAAAGCTGTCATCAAGCCATTAGCTATATACACACCTCACTTCATCAAATAAGCTGTTCATTTCACCAATGAGCCGCTGATTTTCTTGTTCAAACTGCAAAGAAATACATGCACTCAGAATGACATCAAATGGAGCTCAAGAAGGGGGTATAGGGTATCCCTGACCTTCCCCCAACCTTCTAAGGATCACTGCCCAGTCCCATTGGACAGCACAAGGCATTGCCAGAAGGTTACCTGAAAAATATCATACTCTAGGAAGAAAACGCTAGCCTTCCCAAAGACCAGCTGTGCTGCAGTGGCTTGCAGAGCCCCTCCCATGTCTGAACTCAGGAGCAGCTGATACTAGCTGATGGACAGAGGGAGCTGGCTCAGCAGCTCCCAGACTCAGTTTCTGCCAGGAGCCCACTGCTGCCACCTATCTCTGGTGGCAACATTTTTAGACAGAATTTGGTGTGGGGAAGACTGCTATGCAGTAGAGGCTGGCAGGCTACTTGGCCTGTGACAGGAACAGTCCTGTGAATCTTGAGAGCACTAAGGCTTCCCTGCTGGCTAGAGGTATGTACTGCTGTCTTTTTTAGAATAAGCCCCAAGTCTACTCCACTGACCTGTCCTAAAATGTTTTCTGTGGCGTTGAGTCTAGATCCTGGCTGCACCTGAGCAAAAGGCTCTGAAAAGAACCCCTTAGGCTACAGGGCACAGGTGCATGCCACATCTCCCAGCTCTTCTGACTGGCTGGGGACAACAGCACAGGCACTGCGTTAAGGCCTGGCCACAGAGCAGATAGGCACACTTTCTCTGGAACTCTCCTGCATGCAGCTTCACGGTGACATTTCTTAACTCGTTCAGGGACCAGCGTCTCTCAAGGGACAGAGTCACTTTTCTTCTTTAGTCTCTGAGCCCTGCACAAGCCCCGCTGCTCATCAGCACACTATCCATCAGATCAGAAAATGGGGACGGAGGAGAGATGGCAATGCTTCAGGGGGGCAGGTGGGTGGGGCAGTTCCCAGCAGGACCAGTTGAGCTATAGCGGGCTGGATACAGCACTGCTAATGGATCTTTTCATTAGGCATCAAAGAGACCATGTAAGAGAACAAAACTTCACTTTTGAGTCAGAAAGTGTCAGCTGTTGCCTGTCCACTCAGCAGTGACGTAGGAGGCCAGTATAGCCTGAGAATGTGTAATTACTTGAGTTGTAGCACTAATCCCCTCAGGTATGCACAGGCTTATTTTCCAGGGAGGCATTTCCTTTTTCTTTTTTTCTCCTAATGATAAATATGGTCCTGCCCTTTCAAATCTTGTCCTTAGCTTCTTTGAAACTGTTCCTAAACACAATGAACTGTCAGTCTAGGTGGAGTGTTGCCCGGGTTTGTTACTGGTTTCCTCCAGTCCAGGCATGGGGTACAGGGCCATACTACCTCTCTAAGCCTTAGCAGCTGTTACTAATGAAACCGTAACACTGGCTCCAGTGGCAGGCGACATCACATGGGCTCCAGTGGCCAGGTGAAGGTACAGCTTCTGCTTCTGGTTTTCCTGAGCCCAGGGGTTCTGTATGCTATCTCAGATATAGCCAGCCTCCCAAGGAAAAGAGAAACAGATGACTTAAGCCATTCCATGTGGTAAGGGGTGAAGAGAGTATTGACAGTGGTCGGGAGCTTCAGTGGAGAGCAGCCACCACTACAGGGCAGGTCAAAAAGAAACGGAGTTAATAAAAACAAATAAACAGACAATGCCCTCCAAACTCTCTTCCCTAAGTTAGTGGTTCTCAACCTTCCTAAAACTGTGACCCTTTGATACAGTTCCTCATGTTGTGGTGACCCCCAGCCAAAAAATTACTTCATTGCTACTTTCTAACTGTAATTTTGCTATTGTTATGAATCATAATGTAAATACCCGTGCTTTCCTGTGGTCTTAGGTGACCCCTGTGAAAGAGTTATTCAACCCCCAAAGGATTGCAACCCACAGGTTGATGACCACTGCCTTAAGCAAGTGTGAGGTCACCGCTTACTGCAGTCTAGCAGGATCCACACATGCGTGCTCACTGGCACTGGTTTCAAGGCGGTTTTCTGAATGGCAAGTTTGCCCCAAAGGTTAGGTGGCAGGGGCAGTTGGTCATATACCCCCGATATGGAAACCAGGTTTGAGGCCTCATGAAAATTGTTAGGTGGCCCTAGCTAGTCAATGGCTTCTCAATGGCCATCAGTTTCTTTGTGGACAGCTGTGAGCCTTCCCAAGTCCTTCACCTTTGAAACTGTATGTCTTTGGGCAGGTGAGTAATCCAATCACTGTCCTTTGGCTTTTGTCACCAAAATGGGGACAAAAGGATTTAGACAGTGAGGCCATTAAAACATGTATGCTGTTTACATGAGTAGTCTCTCAGACAGGCAAAGTGAGTGGTGAGGTGCCTGAAAGTTCCTTTCTCCCGTCTGACCTCAGATTAAACAGGGCAGCTGTGGTCCCTGGCTGTTTCACTCTGTCAGGCTCTGGAAATTTCACAGATAGTTCATTCTAGGGTCAGCCTAATTGTGCAGCCATGCTGCTTCCTCACCTAAGTAGGGACTTGGCCAGGTCCAGTGTTGAACCAAAGTCCCGGTCTATGTGGTCAGCACTACAGCAGGATGTTTATATGCCCAGAGATACAACACGACCACAGTCTAGGAGATACTTATCACTTAATGTGCTATGTTTGGATATGACTTCTCTCCTGAAAAGGCTCATGGCTGAATGAAGAGTTGGTTTCCAGCTGGCACATCCAGTCATTGAGAGGTTATTGGATCGTTAAGGCTTTGGCGCAGTCACTGAATTATTCAGTGACTGATTCAGAATGAAGGATGTAGCTGAGGATGGGTCCAGCTGGCAGAAGCAGGTCATTAGGGGCATGTCCTTGGGGCAGCGATAAGAGCAGCTCTTTCCCACCATGCCCTTCTGCCATGATGCTGTCTTACCATAGGCCCAGAGCAAATGGAGTCACTGACCATAGCCTGCAGCCTCTGAAACCATGTACTCAGGCGAATCTTTCCTACTTTGAGTAGCTTATTTCTGGTATTTGTCATAGTGAAGAATGGCTGACAAGCAGCAGCATCCTCCTCTTAGACAGGTTCATATGTATCCTACACTGACCTACAGCTCTGTGGGCTCATATGTATCCCATGCTTGCTTACAACTCTGTATCTGAGCACCTTCATGCTCTCACCTCACAAGTGCTGAGATTACGACTGTGCACTACCACTCCTGGTTTACCAACATCACCCTAAGGATCTAGGGCTTGAGATTCAGGGGACCCTGAACAGGGGGGTCTATGACAAACCACACAGTGGGGCCTGCAATACTCCCTCCCGAATGAGGTTAAGTAACAACACAGGTGAAAGTTCTCAGGGCAGCCATGGTGACAGCACAGTGAGATAAGCAATAGCTCCCTCGGCCATCTTACTCTGTTCCTGGTCAGCTAGACTTTCCAGTTGGGCTTTGTGAAAGGGCTTATAATCTGGTTTAAAGGACACAGGTCCATTTGTAATAGCTTACTGTAGAAATCTTGTTTTTAATCTGACCCCCTTTGCTAAGTGTTACTTCCAAGGACCCTGCATAGAAAATACGGCAGGGTGAAGTACTCCTGTTTCAAGTCATCCAGAGAAGATAAGTGAGGATTTGGGACTCAAGACTCTCCCAACAACACCTATGTTCTTGACACATGAACTGTGCTGGGTTACAATATGAAATCTGTGCCAGCAGACTGCCTGGTTCCATGAGCTGCCTCAGGGACACTTGCTACAGACACATTTCACACAGATTTAAGAAAGGTCACACTCGTATCTTTCAAAGGTGACTTTACTTGAGTAAATTGAATGAGGTACATAAAAGTAAAGTGGGCTCTAAAAGGGGGGCAATTTCCTTGATGTTCCACATTAGAAAACAACTGAGTTTTTCTTAGCCTGACATAAAACCTCTGCTAACTCAAGGCCCCATCCACCTGTACCATGACTTACACCTGCAGAGTGACTGTGCATATCAAGTAACATCCTAAAGCCATTCTGCAATGCCTAGCAACCATTTCTTTGACTAAAAGAATGAATTAAATTGCCACTATAGGGCTTAACTTATTATTCCACTCTGAGGGAAAGTTCCAAAACTGATTATGAACTATGACCACAATTTGCTAAAGTACTTTCAATGTAAAACCAATAATATAGTATTCTTTCCCATCATTTCCAGGAGGTTTTTGTTGTTGTTGTTGTTTTGTTTTGTTTTTAAATTTGGGCTTAGCAAGACTTTACAAATTACACTCAGCAATTACTCCCAAACAAGAACATCATTAGCTGAACACTTAAGTAGCCTGTTACAAAAGTTCATGACATCCTTCTGTCCCACCCATCTGCACCAACACAATACAAACTAGGAAGCACTGCAGACTCTGATTCTATATCACCAGCACTGTGGCTGAAGTGCCAGCCTTTTTGGGAATGGTCTGGGTGGGGCAGAGGACATGAAAGCTGACACCAACTGTCTTGGGAGAGAGCCTCACATCCTGACGTCATCTTCAGCCGTGTGGCAGGTGTGGGGCTTGTGAACTGTGCACAGGGTCTCCCTGGCTGTGCTGAGTGGCTCTCAACTGTGGCTCCCCACACCAGCGTGAGGTCCACTGAGGCTCATTTGCTTCCTCAGACAGTTAGTGAGAGGAGGAGGAGGATTCACAGCTGACTACCTGGTACTAGAGCCCTTGTTCTCCATCATCTCAGAAGGACTGTGCCACGGAATGGCAGACACCCAGTTGTTCGCTTCCTCGGGTCTACCTTCTACACTGACACTGCCAGCGGCTTTTTTTTTTAATTAAAAAAATTATGTATACAACATTCTGCCTTCATGTATGCCTGCACGCCAGAAAAGGGCATCAGATCACTTTATAGATGGTTGTGAGCTATCATGTGGTTGCTGGGAATTGAACTGAGGACCTCTGTAAGAGCAGTCAGTGCTCTTAACCTCTGAGCCATATCTCCAGCCTATGCTAGTGGCTTGTAAGTCATCTGCCTGCAAAGGTTAACTGAGATTTGGGGCTCATCATTGTTCCAGGAGGAAGGCAAAGTCCTCTGGCAAACCCCTGTATTTTGGCTATCTCCTTTATGAAGAATAATGGGGCATAAAAGAGTGAGGTCCAACACAAATTTACATCTGCTTACACTTGACAAAAGAGTCCTTTTTCAATGAAGAGGGTGAGCAGTACACATTATTATCTCTAGCAAATTTGCAACATTTGCAGCAATATAACTCATCATTTCCTCTAGCAAAATTATTTTGTATAAACTGGTGATAAATGACATGATTTTAAGACACTCCTGTCATTATCAGCTGTCAGAAGGGAATGCAATCCAACTGTGCTGAAACTCATTTTTTGGTTTCTACATTTCAGTCTGCTTCTAATGCAAAATTCCCAGGGAACTCTCATGGCTTGTCCCCTGTCCCTGTACACAGTGTTTCTCAAGGACCTCCTCTAAGCCTATGATACTCCAGCCCTAAGATGCCTCTAGGACCTATCTACATATCCATATCCACAGCACTTCCAAGCTATCTTGACATGGAACTCATCACTTCCTGCTCCCCACTCCCTACTCCCCAATGCCCAGTTCCATGATTGTCCTTCTCCTGAATGCTCAAGTCATAAATCTCTCAAGTGTCTGGTCTTCTCACATTTGTCCTTCAAGGGATATCTCTCCATCATCAGTCCCTGGAGGCGGCTATTATTGCCCTTGAGAGCTGTGAGAGGGCACAGAAGTTCCAGATAAAGGCACGAGTGGACTGTAGTCAACTGTGATTCCACAGTCCTTTCTTTTACCTTGGAGGCAGTGGCTCCTTGGGCTCCCTGCATGTTGGTTTTCACCTATTTATGCTACTTTCTGGGAGGAAAACTTTGTTTCAGGCAGGGAGAAGCAGGGAATCTGAAGAGCAAGTAGCCATGACCTGTCACCTGGGCTGGGCAGTTGTGGAAGACAGACATATGGACAGGCCTTCTGTCCCACTCACAAGAACCCATCAGTGACTTAGCTAGTTAGCAGCACTCCTAGTCACTGTTCTGGGTCTAAGGCAGTGACAGTGAGCCAGTATCCTTCTCACATGGTGCTAGCACAGTAGACAAGTACAGAAGGAAGCAGGACACTGGGGTGGCTGTCTGGCTGGTCAGAGAGGACTCCAGGAGGCTACACTGGGGACATCACAGGAGTCAGAAAGGAGTGGCAATCACAAATGACTCTCTGGAAGTCTGAGGACTAAGCCAAGGTCAGAGCCTATCCTCACTAGACAAAAGGGCTTCTGTTCACCACTGCTCCTCTGTCTCCAGTGGCAAGGCCTTTCTTGCTCTTTGGCAAAGGCAGGAGGAGGTGGTGAATACTGCAGGCCTGAAGAAGAGCCAGGCAGATGAGTCCTAAAATGCTCACTGTCAATGGCTGCACAGCCATGAGGCTGCCATTTGGGAGGCTCTCACCAAAACTTTGTGTCTTGAAACCACTGAGATGACAAACAACAGCACTTAACACAGGGGTCAGGTCACCAGGAGGAGGTGGTCACTGTCCTGATGGCTGCTTCCACCATCCTTCAGCCTTCACTATGATCTCCTATCACTTCCATGATACCAATGACTCAATTGAGTATAAACACCATTTTGGCAAATATAAAAGACTGACTTGGTTTAATCTCGATGCCTACTATATTGCTAGTGAAAACACTTAGCAAGACTATCCAAGCGAACTTCTGTTTTACTATGCTACTGTGAACTGAAATCATGAAAATCCTAACGGGAAGTAGGACATTAAGTGGGTAAGTGTATATACAATGTGTTTATATTTTTAAAGCCCAGTATCAAATTAGGGCAAGGGCATTTGCACAACCTCCCACTCACTGACAATCTTAGGGCAGGCAGCTGCAAAGAAGTAGTTAGCATTACCATCTGTATCTCTTCTGGAGATAGCTCATCTTCACCACTGCCATCGCCCCAGGTTCCCAGTTCAGGCTGTGCTTCGGCCAATGGCTTTTCTGTTAAGAAAAGTAAAGAGGACAAAGATAGGAGGGCCAGCTATTCCTTCAGAATAGGCAGCCGAAGAAACAGGCACACGAAGACACCAGAAGGAGTGGGGTTCTGTAGCATGGTCCATATTGGCAATTAGCTAACGTGCAGTAGAGGCTCCAGGTCCCAGTCCACACAGTATGAAGTCTTTCTCTAGGGCAGCCACATATCCTAGAACAGGAACATTTTAATCTAGATGCCTTTTGTTCATGGCGAGGCAAGCACACAATGGCCCTCACTAGCACAGGCGCCTACAAAGAACTGTTGCCCAGTGCAATGGGTACAGCCTGCACATTGTAGGGCTAGCTGAGGGGAGGAAAGGACTGCTTAGTGGAGGCTGGGACAAATCTGTTCCCAAAGGTGAATCTAGTTATGAGTGTCTCAGTGTCCCTGGGCTTCATCACTGTTTTTCCAGGGACTGGGGCAAATACTGCATCTTTTTCCTTTCTCTTCAGCTCCAGTAAAATTCCTGTTGAGTCTAGGGGGTAGTGAGAGTTCAGGGTGGTTTGATTGGGAAAAGCACATCACAACAGCAGCAGAGAGAAGGCAGATGGGGCCCTCCCTGTGTGACAGGCACAGTTACCATTAGAAAGGTATCTTCCCAAACAGTCACGTACACCTCAGTGCAGGTGAAACAGACTACAGACAAGGAAAATCACATCCATGTCATAAAGTGTCCTCAGGCAGAGAGGCACTGTTCTGAGACAACTCTCTGGGTGTGAACCCATGTGCTTTCACCCATCACTCATACCCCTGGGACTTCTATCTCCTACTTGGCTTCAGTATGGTCCCTATTTCAGATTTTTCTTCCCTCTCCTTTGAATACAAAAAAGAATCAGAAACATAAGCCCCATCATAATGGATCCGAGTATGTATTAGTTACATGAGGATGGAGAAGTCCTGCGCTCTACAGGTGTTCAACTGTGAGCCACATGAAGCCCTTCTGACCTGGGCCCAGGACTCAGGCGAAGCGCAGTGCTCACAGCATACTGTGCCAACCAGTCAGATCCAGATGGCCTACCTGCACCCAGGCATTCTGTGGTCTGGCCCCAGACTGCCTCTGCAACCATATCTCCTACAATTCCTCACTAACCGCACGGGTTTTCTTTAGTGACTACATTCCATGTACGCCTCCATGATGTCTGGCCTCTTGAGTGTTTTCTTGCTCTAAATGTTCCTATCACCTAGAAGTTTCTAAGCTTTATTTTTTGGGGGGTGCTGACTTACTTGCTCAGGGTTACCTCTCCCTGAGGTCCATATGGTCCTCAGTCTGTTCCCACTTCTGTTTTTCCTAAGACACTACTTACTCGCCTCCAGGAGCTGGAATCCTATCCTTCCTGGCAGCAGCGAACTTCACAGGGGCAGGAACAATGACTCACTTGAGAATATATCTGAACACCCAAAAACCAAGATGAGCAAACAACTTACCACAGAGACATGAAGAATTCAGCCTTGCCAGGCAGAATGTTTAAAGAAAAGGACTTAATTCTGGGGGTGGCAGGCCAACCAGTAGAGAACCTGCCGATTAAACGAGCAAGTGCCAAACAGCAGAGGGAGCGTTACAGACAAGAGACCAACTCTTTCCTAGAACTGTGCCAACTTGTTCTGTGCCAGACCATGTTGTCTAAGTGGCACCTCAGGTTTCAAAAGGAAATAAACACTGAAAGACAAAGAAAGCAAAGGACACATCCACACGGAACAGGTTGGAGTGTTACCCACAGAAACTAGCAGATATCCACACACAGGAAGAAACAGTCTCTCGATTGCCATGGAGGAAAGGAAAGACACACAGCTTGGGAAGGAGAGCAGCTGGCTGTAGGGGAAAAATTTCCCCATTAACACCAAGGCCGGGATGGAAAGAAGGGCCTAGCCAGGAAAACAGACAGCACATGGAAGTTGGCTGTAGGCCTCCCCCTGAGCAGCCTGGCCTGCTTCTCCCCTCTCGATCATCTCTTCAGAGGTACACTCAAGCCATGGTTCCAAGCTGTCAGTTTCCCAGGATCCCCCAAGCTCCTAGCCCTAAGTTCTCTCTGCTCACTCCAACATCAACACTATTTCCACCTGGACACCCAGCGGGCACCTCAGGCCCATCCAAGCAGACGAGCATGTGGCGTCCCTTCCCCCACCGTGCTGCCCGACCGCACATGGAGCTGGACTCATCTCAGGCAGCAATGCCCTTCCACCAGCTCTTCAGCCTCAAGTGCTCCCATCCCACACACTCCCAGTCGCTACCTAAGAGGTGACCTCAGACTCCAAATGTGACCCGAGCACTACTCACTCTGCTCTATGTGAGTTTGGGTGTATATGTGGGGTGGTCCCTGGTAGCAGATGTCTTGTGTCTTGGTTGCTCCAAGAGATTCCTGTCCAGCCTACCAGCTTCCACACCACCTCTCAGCCGTTTCCAGGCTTTTCAGATATAAGCCATATACCATGGCACACTCCAGCTCTGGAATACCCAGTGTATCTTACCATGCTGAGGTTCAAACTCTACCTCAGCATGTGGGCTGCAGCGTATCCCCCCACTTCCCAGCAAACCAGAGTGCCTTTTCCATGCTGCCCTCCCTGATCACTGGTGACGCTGGGTCCTCTTAAAGTGCTTATCTGTAATGGGTAGATAGATGTTCCTTTAAGAAACTGCCATTTGTTACATGTTTTTATGGGCTTTGCATTTGTGTGTGTGCGTTGTGTTTTTTACTTATTTTTTTATTTTTGGCTTTCCGAGACAGGGTTTCTCTGTGTAACAGCTCTGACTGTTCTGGAACTTGCCCTGAACTCATAGAGATCCACCTGCCTCTGCCTCCCAAGTGCTGGGATTACAGGTGTGTGCCACCACCACCTGGATTTTCTGTGTTTTTAAAAATCTACGTTTTTGTGTGTTTGCCTGTTTGTTTTCTAAAGGCACACAGAGAGAAAGGGTGTGGTGTTGGGTGGGTGAGCAGAAGCTGGGAGGAGTTGGGGTAAGAGGAACCATGATCAGAGTATATTGTATGAACATTTTTTTTTCAATTAAAAATTAAAGAAACTGCCATTCAGATCCTTTGCTCACTTTTCAACTTTTGGTTGAGAGGTCTATCTGTGTCCAGCAGGTGGATAAAGTCCCTCATCAGACGTATGGTACAATGGAAATGGTTTTCCATTCTGCAGGCTGTCTTGCTGGTGTCCTTGAAAAAGCAAGCTCCAGTAACTAGTGCTCATCTCCTTGCTCCCATGTTTAAGCAGGCAGAGCAATGCTAGTATGGATGTGAGTGCTGGGGCCCAGGTGTTTCCACATCACATGTTCTTGTCCCCTGCACACTGCCAGACTAATCACAGCTCAACCAGTAAGAAGACAACCTGATCATGTGGACTCTATGTCAGCGCACTAGAACAACACTGCTCTCGTCACACTCACAGACCTTGCTTGTTTCCCTATGAGCCCAAAGAAGAGTCGTTTCCACTCACTCTGACATCCCTAACACCCAGCCCAAGGTCTGGCACAACAGGCAATGTAGGCTTGAGGTCAGCAGTGAGACGTGGTATCTTCTGATGAGACTTTCTCTAGGTCCTCAGTTGGCACCGGCTTTCCCTGAGTGGGTGAATGACTGAATGTGGACGCTGTGTCTTGTCTTCTAGGAAACTATGCCCCATGGAAGTGTGGGGAAGCCCGGGGCAGGCACAGGAGACATGCAGAATCCCTGCCTGCTGAACCAGGGATTCAGCATGTTCAGCTACCAGGCAGGAATAGGCTGAGGCTGTGCAAACAGAACCACCCACGTGGAGGGCTGCTGGGCTTCCTCAGTGCTGAGCTTCCTCTCTTATATAACCTCTCTGAATCCTGCTTGGCTTCCTCACCTACAAAACACAATAGCACACACCTCCAAAGATCCAAGTCTGGCCGGTGACTCAGTCAGCATGTGTGGCACAGTGAAGAGCTCTAAAAGTACTGTTCTCACTGTACAAAGGACCTCCGGAATCCTCCAGGCTGGTGAACCATAGGTCATGTGAAACACTTAGGAAACACATGGAATCATGATGTAGAGGTGAGCTTGAGAGCCAAACCCACCTACCAGTGAATTCTGGACCCACCATTGCTCGGAGCAGCTCTGCTCACACCATGGGTCAGGAACTGCTGTGTATTCCTGCCGATAGGTCAGAGGGAAGACGTGCAGAGCAAAACCTTATACTGATTCATACCTGGCAACTCCTCGGCAGCAGGCTTCTCTTCAGAGTCCTGGGAAGCAGCCTGTGAGGCTTTCTCAGATAGGGGTTCTTTCCTCTTTGTATTTGGTTCAGGTTCCAGCTTAGATCTAAATACAAATACTTAGCAGTTATTTATTTTGCCTTCAAAACAGGACTCTTTTCTGACAACAGAAGGGGTCATACATGACTTGTGCATTTTTGCTGGTCTCTCTACTGGGGCCCATGAGTCACACGGACACATATACCTCACTGCAAGGTACCATGCTGATAGTATACTGCCTTCTGCATTTCGGCCACAGCATGGTGCCTAGCATCTGCAAGCACTGAGGTTGCCCTGGAGACACCACACCAGAAAGTGATGTAGAGTAATTCAGTAATTCTACACTAATGCAAAAGTATTGCCAAAGACACATGCATGGACACATGGACACACACACACACACACACACACACACAGGTATGCATGCTATCTTGAAATAGTAAAGCCAGAAGTCTCACACTTAGTTTTCTTCCCATCTTTCTCCATACTTCTCTGCCCATGTGGTTTCCTTTTCTACCCAGTTCATATTCGCCTCTGCTACCTAGAGATCTCCCCAGGCTTTCTTTTCAATTTTATTTATTATTCATTAGTGTGTGTGCACATGAGTGTCTGCAGGCACACGGTGTATACCTGGAGGTCAGAAGACAGCTTCTGTAAGTAAGTCTTCTTTTTCCCCTTTGTTGAGGCTGGGTCCTTCTCATTTCTCTGAGAGCATCCAGGTGACCTCCCTGTCTCCACCCCCCATCTCACTGCAGAAGTACTGAGACTACAGAAGTGTGCAGTATCTGTTGTCTGTTTGGATGTTTGTTTGGATGGTTTTAAACATGAGTTCTTAGGATCAAATTGAGGCTATTAGGCTTGTGAAGAAATTCTTTTACCTGCTAAGCCATTTTGTTGAACCGTGTGTGTGTGTGTGTGTGTGTGTGTGTGTGTGTGTGTGTGTTGCACGCAAGTGTCTCCACCCATATGTGCATGTTTAGAGGTCAGAGGTCAATGTTGGAAGTTTTTCTCTAGAACTTCCTACCTTATTTTTATTGTTTTTAATCTTGTTCTTATTTTGTAGCCCTGGCTGGCCTGGAACTCACTATGTAGACCAGACTGGCCTCAATATCATAAGAGATCTGCCTGCCTCTGCCTCCTGAGTGCTGGGATTAAAGGTGTGTGCCACCATACCTGGCTCCCACTAATTATTTGACACAAGGTCTGTCACTGAACTAGAGTTCACTGTTTCAGGTAGACTGGCTGGCCAGTGAACCCCAGGAACTGCCAGTCTTTGCCTCAGGTGCTGAGGTTTACAGGTGAGCACTACCATACCTAGACTGTACATGGGTGATGGGGACCTGAACTCAGGTCTTTACACTTGCACAAGCACTTCACCCCCAAACCATCTATCTGTCCAGGCCCTGGCTTACATAGCAAGTACTGTCCTATTCCTCTACATGCACCTGTGTTTTTGTGAGTTGCCAGTGCTACTTAGCTGGATTAGTACCTGAATGTAGTGTCTGTTATGATCTGCAAAGGTTGAGGTCCAGTGTATGCCTTTACTGAGTGAAGCTTTAGGAGGCAGGGCTAGTGTAAGAAAAGTCCCTGGGGATGTGCCCTTGAAGTGAACCTTTCTTTTTCTTAGTTCTCCAACTGTGTTGCCATGAGGCAAACAGGTTTCTTTTGTCATGTGCTCCTGTCATGTATGTGCCACCAGGGCCAAGCAATCATGAGCTGAGCCAGGACCTCTAAAACTGTGACCCCAACAGACTTTCTTCTTCTGACTCCTCTCTTTATTCTAATTTTTGGAGTCAAAGTTTTACTATGTAGTCCTGACTAGCCTAGAACTTGCTATGGGACCAGGGTGGCCTTGAACTCATAGAGACCTGCCTGCTCCTGTCACCTGAGTGTTCAGATTAAAGGTGACTCTCAGGTGTTTTGTCAGAGTGATGGGAATCTAACTAACACAGTGTTCAATAAAAACGTGTTGAATGAATGAATGTTTTACAAAAATGAGCAAATGGCTAACAGAGGAGAAAAACTCATCCTAAAATAATGTGTTTAGGGCCAAGCATTCTTGGCTGTATGTGTGACTGTAATCCCAGCACTCAAGAAACAGGTAGAAGGGTTGCTGCCACGAGTTTTATGACAACCTAGGTTACAATGTGCAGACAAAAGAATCAATTGATCAATCACAAAAATAACACAATAGGCATCATAATAGCTTTACCACAATCTATATGAAAATTACAGGAAGGGTGCTAAAAAGATCCATGATGCAGTCCATGCTGTTAGCTAGCCAGACTGTGAGTAAAAGAACAAAGTTAACTTGTGCTGGCTGGACCTGGTTTACACATACCACTTGCCAAGTACCTAGGATGTACCAAGTACTTCTCTAAGCACCTTATGAGGATAAATGTAGACAAATTTATCCAACTCCCAAACATCTCCCTAAGAAGTTACTAGTATTTAATGACCTTTTATATAAAGAAGGAACCTGAGGCCACATAGTGGCTAGGCTGAGACAAGACCTCAGGGTCCCAGCTCCTGAGTCCATGTTGTGTCAGCATTAAGAGAATGACTGACTGGGTGTTTGTATAGAATAGACAGTCATTAATGCCATTCAGACATTCAGATCCTGACTAGACAGAGTACAGAGGAGGCAGACAACTGTCCACAGCAGAGACCTCACAAAGGACTTATGTCAGGACACAGAAGGAACTCCTACAAAAATTAACAGAAGGCAAATGATTCAGTAACAAAGTGGAGACTTGAATAGATATTCTGGAGGAAATATAGAAATCATCTATAAACACACACGAACAGTTGATTAACATAAACCCGAGTCACAGAGAGATAATTCTGCTCACCCCCCCACAGGGGAAGAGTTAAAACACGTTTGTTCTGCCACTTTGGAAATCAGTATGGAGATTTCTCAGAAAAATGGGAATAAACCTACCACAAGACCCAGCAACTCTACTCTTAGGCATATATCCAAAAGATGCCCATTCATACAACAAGGATGTCTGTTCCACTATGTTCATAGCAGCATTATTTGTAATAGCCAGAACTTGGAAGCAACCTAGATGTCCCTCAACCGAAGAGTGGATAGAGAAAATGTGGTACATTTACACAATGGAGTACTATTCAGCAGAAAAAAACAATGGAATCCTGAGATTTGCAGGCAAATGGATGACACTAGAAGAAACCATCCTGAGTGGCATGTACTCTCTCATATATGGATTTTAGACATAGATCTGGGGAGTGCCAGCCTACAATCCCATGGCCAAAGAGTCTGGGAAACAGAAACTTCATTCAGTGGCTGATGGCTAAGCACTGAGCTGAACTCAAGAAATCCAGTAACAGAGAGGGAGGACTGATGACCAAAGGAATTAAGACTGGGCTGGTTTAACCCCAGAAACAGCTGACCTGACAAGAGTTAATCCAGCATGGGACTGATCAAGACCGCCTGAATGGGGGTGTCAGTGAGGAGGCCTAGGTAATCTATTGAACCTTGGGCAGTAGATCAGTATTCATCCCGAGTACACACATGGACTTTGAACTCCCATCCAACAATGTGAGATGCACTCTCACCCTGAACTCTTGGGGGAGGGTCTAGGCCCTGCCCTGGATGAAATGACAGACTATGGACACCCCCTGGAGGGCCTCACCCTCCCTGGGGAAATGAGGGGATAATGGGGGGGTTGGGGGGAGGGCACGGGAGGAGGGGAGGGAAAGGGAGAGGGACCTGGAACTGACTTGTGAAGCAACCTTGTTTCTAATCTAAATTTAAACTTAAAAATAAATAATAAAAAAAAGATTCATAAAAGTAGCAAAAAAATATGTTTGTTCCACATTATATCCCTGGGAGAATGAGGACAAATCAGAGCCTCACATAGCTAGATGATGTGTAAAATGTTGTTACCATTATGGAAAACTTGGAACAGTTTCTTATTAAATCTAAGAGTGTCTCCACTGTAACAGAGCAACCCCCTTTGAGGCATTCACCGAAGAGAAAGGCAAAGGTGCGTCCACATGAAAGGGAAGCTGTCAAGCCATCACAGCAGACTTACTCATACAGGAAAGGCAGGGAAACAACCCCACGCCGACCAGCACAAGAGTAGGTAAAGCAATGTGTATTCACACAGCACGACACCACTCAGCAGTGGAAAGCAAATCACAAACACTGTAGCATGCTTCATCTTTTTAAAATGTGTTAAGAGGGCTCCTGGCTCAGTACTCATTGAGCATGCCTAAGGGCCTGGGCTTGATCCCAATACTGTAAAAAACAAACTCAAAAGAAACCTTTTAAAACAAACAGGGCCCAGTCTATATTTAGCATCAAGTGCAGTAATATAATCATTTAAAAATACTGCTTAATATTTTGGGTCAAATTAGTGTTGAAATTTAGTAATTGAGTAGCTGGACACATTAGACAATTTTCAAGCTATCCTAAAAAAAGATACCCATCAACCAGAAAATTTTCAGTATTTTCTTCTGGTTATTAAGTGACAAGTGCCTTGACATGTCTTGGTTTGATTCCTCTTCTGGAAAGTGGGGCTTCAAGAGTGTCCTCATGTGGTCACTAGTTCCCTGGGATGCTTAAGTCACAGAGTCCACAGCATACAACGCAAGTGACAGACCGTCTGTTCCACAGCTCTGCTGCTGCAGCGCCATAAGTGGGGCGGCCTGGTCTCACAGAGGAAGTGCTAAGACAGTGCATCCAATTGTCCTTGTTCTTTTCTCCTTGTGGAGACAGAACCCTCACAGAAGCGACTGTGGGGAAGGACCTACTCTGGCGTGGGGTTCAGCGGTTACAGCTGATCATGATAGGGAGGCCTCAGCAGTGCAAGCGGCTCAGGACTGTGGTAATGGGGCCACCAGGCTGTGGATCACACCCCTGTGGCTATCATGAGCAAAAAGACTGCTGGAAGCAGAGGCTGGCCTATAACTCCTACGTCTGCCCACCAGCTAGACCTCATCTCCTAAAGGTTCCACAGCCTCCCAAAACAGGGTCACTAGCTAGGTATTAAGTTCAAACCATAAGCCTGCAGGGTTTCATATTCAAATCATATCACAGACCAA